TCTACTACAAATACAAAAATTAGCTGGGCATAGTGGCATGCACCTGTAGTCCCAGTTACTCGGGAGGCTGGGGCAGGAGACTCACTTGAACCCAGGAGGCGGAGGTTGCAGTGGGCCAAGATTGTACCACTGCACTCCAGCCTGACGACAGAGACTCCATCTCAAAAACAAATAAAATAAAATAAGATGGATTAGGCTGGGGACAGTGGCTTATGCCTGTAATCCAGCACTTTGGGAGGCCAAGGCGGGCAGATCAGGAGATGGAGACCATCCTGGCCAACATGCTGAAACCCTGTTGTGGGTAACCCCCAACGTGGGCACCAGGAAGGAGAGCTGTACAGACTCGGGCACAATTAGTGCTTGAAGTATAACTTACTGCTTACTAATATCTAAGATATATATAATCATACTTAGTTCCATATAATCTTGTATCTAGCTTATATATATATAAAACCACACTTAGTTTTATATAATCTTTCTATACAAACTACAAACATATATTGGATTTTAGTCAGAGCTATATCGACACATTTATTGCTGATTTATATAATCTTTTTTTTTTGAGACAGTTTCGCTGTTGTTACCCAGACTGGAGTGCAATGGCACGATCTCAGCTCACCGCAACCTCCGCCTTCTGGGTTCAAGCAATTCTCCTGCCTCAGCCTCCTGAGTAGCTGGGATTACAGGCACGCACCACCATGCCCAGCTAATTTTTGTATTTTTAGTAGAGACAGGGTTTCACCTCGTTGACCAGGATGGTCTTGATCTCTTGACCTCGTGTTCCACCCATCTCGGCCTCCCAAAGTGCTGGGATTATAGGCGTGAGCCACCGCGCCCGGCCTATATAATCTTTCTATATAATCATATAGTAGTTTATAGTAGGAGGAATGCCAAGAGCAGTCACAGTGCAGAAGCAAATACATGGGAAAAACAGCCAGGCCAGGACAAGAACCAATGACCCAGGCGGTAGCGCCCCTGCTTGAAAGGGCATACACTATGTGGCAGGTCAGGGCCTAGATGGCAGCACTCAATACCCACTGCATGGCTGGCTTGGAGCAAGAGTTATTCCTCCTGAAAAGGAGTGGCCGTACCTTGCATCCAGTTCTTGTGGAAAGTAGGCCTCAGGCCTGAGATCTCGTGAACAACCGAGGGAGAAGAACCCCTCTGGTGTAATTGCGCCATGGCAGCTGTACACCCTGTGAGCTTTTGCTTGCTACTGGGATGGCTCAAATCATTCTCCTATAAATTATCTTAGAGAAGAGCACACTCTGCCAGGTCCCACTGCATTGGTTTACAGCATCCTTCCATCGGAATTCTTTGAAGTCTCCAGCCCCCAGATAAGAAGTGTTGCGCATGGCACTTGTTGCACACAGCTCACCTCCTTTGCCAGGTGACCTAATGAAGGGGGACCCCCTTTTTGTACGTTACCCTCTATTACTGTGCACGGCATAGACCCCTACTGCACATGGCCCACCTCTCTGGCTAGGTGACCTAATGGGGTAGCCCCCTACTTGCTACTCATGTGATTACGTATGCCCAATCATTAAGCCTATATATTACCTCACTCACGACCCTTCCCCCTGCCTTGAACCTAATAAATACAGATGCTTCTGGATGTTCAGGGCCTCGCCTGTCTCCGTTCATAAGGTGGCATGGCCCCCAGAGCCCGGATGCTCTTTTCCAGTCTGTCTGTGTCCTGTCTCTTTATTTCTCAGATCCTGCGACTCAACACAGCAATAGGGGACACCCCATGACCCTGTGGAGCTGTGGCCCTCCATCCTGTCTCTACTAAAAAAATACAAAAATTAGACGGGCATGGTGGTGGGTGCCTGTAAGCCGGGCTACTGGGGAGGCTGAGGCAGGAGAATCACTTGAATCCAGGAGACGGAGGTTGCAGTGAGCTGAGATCACGCCACTGCACTCCAGCCTGAACAACAGAGCGAGACTGTCTCAAAAAAAAGGTAGATGATTGAACAAACAGAGACAGGGATTGAGGGGCAGATTTGCAATAAAGCAAATAAAGCAAAATGCTCACTGTACAACCTAGGAGGTGGCTACATGGGTATTCACTGCACAATTCCTTCAACATTTTTATATACTGGAAATTTTTCATATTAAATTGCTAGAGGGAAAAGTCTGAAGGAGACACATGGGCCCTGGCTCCTGTGGCCTGTAGTGCTAAACTGACCTTCAGGAGGTGACAGCCCAGCTACCATGCTTACATCCTGAAAAAAAAAATGGGCCACGGGCCAAAAGTATAAATCAGCAGAAGCTCATGTCTACCAAAATCTAGGATGAAGACCAAATAGAAGTCTGAGAAGTCTAAGTTCTTTTTCTTAGATGATGAAAGGCATTGGTATGTATGGATATGAGCTATTTTTATCCTTGTGATACAAGAAGCAGTAGAAGAGGCAAGAACACATGAATGATTTTTTTTTCTTGGCCAGGCACACTGGCACATGCCTGTAATCCAACACTTTAGGAGGCTGAGACAGGCAGATCACCTGAGGTTAGGAGTTCGAGACCAGCCTGGCCAGCATGATGAAACCTCTGTCTCTACTAAAAATAGAAAAATTAGCTGGGGTATGATGACAGGCACCTATAATTCCAGTTACTCAGGAGGCTGAGGCGGGAGAATTGCTTGAACCTGGGAAGTGGAGGTTGCAGTGAGCTGAGATTGTGCCCCTGCACTCCAGCCTGGGCGACAGAGCAAGACTGTCTGAGGAAAAAAAAAAAAAAAGATTTTTTCTTAAAAAAAATAAAGTTGGGCATGGACTCTCATGCCTGTAATCCCAGCACTTTGGGTGGCCAAGGTGGGAGGAGCATTTGAGGCCAGGAGTTGGAGACCAGCCTGGGCAACACAGTGAGATCCTATCTCTACAAAAATTTTTTTTAGAAAGGCATGGTGGCACACACCTGTATTCCCAGCTACTTGAAAGGCTAAGGCAGGAAGATGGCTTGAGCCCAGGAGGCAGAGGCTACAGTGAGCCGTGATCATGTCACTGCATTCGAGCCTGCAGGACAGAGCAAGACCCTGTCACAAACAAAACAAAACAAAATCCTAAGAATGAATTAGTTTAGTTCAAGGAGAAAGAACAAGGATGGAGAAAAGTACTTCAATCAGCAACATGAATGACATGACCCTGTATAAGGAATTCTCTCCAACCATAGTCAAGTTCATTCCAGCAAATGAGTGATGAACATCTAAACAGTAATTCACAACTATTATAAACACTAAAATATGGGGAACCTGGAACTAGACCATTTGTAGATGACCTGCTTCTAGGTGTGGGTTTCATACATAGCAGACCAGTGCTCTCGATGCAATCTATTTCAATAGCCCTCTATCTGGCCCTCAGCCAGGCACAGTGGCTCACACCTGTAATCCCAGTATTCTGGGAGGCTGAGGCGGGTGGATCACAAGGTCAGGAGTTCGAGACAAGCCTGACCAATATGGTGAAACCCCGTCTCTACTAAAAATACAAAAAAAAAAAAAAAAATTAGCTGGATGTGGTAGCATGTGCCTGTAATTCCAGCTACTCAGGAGGCTGAGGCAGGAGAATCACTTGAACCTGGAGACGGAGGTTGCAGTGAGCTGAGATCGTGCCAGGGCAACAAAGTGAGACTCTGTCTCAAAAAAAAAAAAAAAAAAAAATTGGCCCTCAACACAAAGGTTTGGAAAAATAAATAAGAAAAAATAAATAAATAAAATAAGCCACACCAGAAACAGGCTCAGTAAGTCATTACTGCAAAGTAAGATAGGCTTTCCCCCTTCTTAGAAGATCTACTGTGCCTCCTGTCTCAAGGCAAGAGAACAATGGTTTAAGCCCTTTATGGCTGGAAATAACTTTGGGAAAGTAAACGATGGGAAGTTTCCACTTGAAACAAAGTTCCTCTGTCACTCCTCACTCCTAATCAAGGAGTACCTTTAAAATTATCTCTTCCCCTTATTCTTAGTGTACCATGAGAACAAGGGAAACTTACTTCAGGTAGGTACATTTTACCTGAAGCTAAGATAAAAACATTCCTGTTCACTCGAACATCACTTTTAGATGGGAAGAAAATGGCCTTCAGGAATTCCATAGGCTCCCTTGCTGGACAACAGGTGGCACTGTCACATTAGATCCTATTTAAGTTATAGATCAGAGTAGTAAGAAGAGTTTTAGTGGAGACCTAAAGATTTCACTGACATGGGTTTCTAAGCTTATCTTTATTTATTTATTTATTTATTTATTTAGCGATGGAGTCTTGCTCTGTCCCCTAGGCTGGAGTGCAGTGGTGCAATCTTGGCTCACTGCAACCTTCGCCTCCTCGGTTCAAGCAATTCTCCTGCCTCGGCCTCCCGAGCAGTTGGGACTACAGGCACGTGCCACCATGCCCAGCTAATCTTTTTGTATTTTTAGTGGAGACAGGGTTTCACCATATTGGCCAGTTTGGTCTCAAACTCCTGACCTCGTGATCCACCCACCTCGGCCTCCCAAAGTGCCAAGATTATAGGCATGAGTCACGATGCCTGGCCTATCTTTTATTTTTAAGCTTAAACCATTTAACTGGTTATCAGGTTTTTTTTGTTTTTTTGGGGTTTTTTGAGACAGGGTCTCACTCTGTTGTCCCGGCTGGCGTATAGTGGTGCAATCATGGTCACTGTGGCCTCAACCTCCTGGACGTAAGCGATCTTCCTGCCTCAGCCTCCTAAGTAATTGTGCCACCACACCTGGCTAACTTTTGCATTTTTTGTAGAGTTAGGATTTCGCCACATTGGCCAGGCTGGTCTCAAACTCTCAGACTCAAGTGATCTGACCGCTTTGACCTTCCAAAGTGTGGTGATGAGCCACCACGCCTGGCCTAACTAGTTATTTTTTAACCCCTTGAATGACGGCAACAAATGGGGAAGTTCTTTGAGCTGTGCTCTGCAGTTGAAGGTGACCACTCCCAAGGCAGTCACCCATTCCCTTGTCACCACAGGCTCTGTTCTCCCTAGAACAAAAATGAGCTGTTACCTGTGTAGCCCACTGGATTTGTGTGTGCCAAGCGCCAAGCAAGGCGTCATAGAGTCCAGTAAGCTGCCGGTCCAGGGGTAGGTCACTTTGACACAGCTCTTGCCAGGTTGCTAAAAGCTGCACCTGCAGGGACAGAACAAAGGGAACCTTACTGGGTACGTCAACATAGGTTGCCCACTAACACTGCCCTGCCCTGCTACCCAGAGCAATCACGGATTGCTCAATGGGCTCACTGGCTGGCCCAGCGAGGTCCATCCACTTTAAAGAAAGGTGGAAAAGAAAACCATTTGCAGTTACCTGCACTGATTCACAGCTTTAATCTGTCACCCTGCAGATGTGATCACCTCTCCATTTATCCTGCCCTAAAAGCATGTAACATGCATCCACTTGGCACACAATCACTCTTCTGAATGCACCTTGAGGCAGGAGTGGGCGGCCATGTGCGCTTAAGCTTCAAGTCCTGGCCAGGCGCACTGGCTCACGCCTGCAATCCCAGCTACTCAGGAGGCTGGGGCAGGAGAATAATTTGGACCCGAAAGGTGGAGGTTGCAGTGAGCCAAGACTGCACCACTGCATTCCAGGCTCGTGACAACGCAAGACTCCATCTCAAAAAAAAAAAAAGTTTCATGTCCTAACATCACTGCTTAAAAGACAAAGAGCACTGGACTTGAAGGAATTAAGATCAGCTCCGGAAGTTATCTGTGTTTTGGCAATCTAACTTCAGCAAACCTAGAAAACATAAAATTCCACGCTGGGTAAAGTGGCACACGCCTGTAGCCCCAGATCCTCACAAGGCTGAGATGGGAGGATCTCTTGAGCCCAGGAGTTCAAGGCTGTAGTGCACCATAATCGCATCTGTGAATAGCCACTGCACTCCTGGCTGGGCAAAATAGTGAAAACCTATCTCTAATGAAAAAAAAAAAGAGAGAAATTCTTACAGCTTCCTGAGGGTGTAATAAAGCTTAAGACGGCCGGGTGCGGTGGCTCATGCCTGTAATCCCAGCACTTTGGGAGGCCGAGGCGGGTGGATCACGAGGTCAAGAGATCGAGACCATCCTGGTCAACATGGTGAAACCCCGTCTCTACTAAAAATACAAAAAAAAATTAGCTGGGCATGGTGGCATGTGCCTGTAATCCCAGCTACTCGGGAGGCTGAGGCTGGAGAATTATCTGAACCCAGGAGGCGGAGGTTGCCGTGAGCCGAGATCGCGCCACTGCACCCCAGCCTGGGTAACAAGAGCGAAACTCCGTCTCCAAAAAAAAAAAGAAAAAAAAAGCTTAAGACATAAATCTCCCTTAAAAGACAAAAATGGGAATAAATTAAAACAACCTTTCAAGTCTATAATGAATCCAGCTGTAAACAGAAAAGAAATGAAAACAGGTAACTCCCAACTGGCAATTAAATAAATCCATGTGCCAGACCAAGAGCACCCCCTATTGGCTAAGAGAAAAATGGCCAGAGGGCAAGGAGGCAATGTCCTGACCTTCTGAATTATGAATGTGCGATTCTATGACCCAGAGTTATGAGCATTCCACAACTGTCATCGCGCACAGCTTCTTACCTTGTGACACTTGTAGTAGTAGGCCAGGAGCTGGGGCATCCGGTCAATTTCAGTAAACACCTTCACAAACACTTTGGACTGATCTAAAGAACATACAATGCATAAACACTGTTACCAGCCTTTCTGGTGTAGACATGGATACATGGAAGCTAGTATTCACAAGTTCCTGACTAGATACTGAATTAACTCATGCATGGGAATCATAAATTTGAAAAATAAGCATGACTTGAAACAGACACTGCAAGGTAGTCACCTCTGTTCCTTACAGAATTCATATTTTAATATAATATTCACAGGTTAGTTATGTCTTCGAAAATTCCTACTGGGAAAATACCAGACGGGAACTTTAAAAAAACAAACACACTGACTCCTATATGTCCACGTATCTGGTGGTTTGAAGAGTAAGTAAATAATTTGAACCAGTCATGGTGGCTCATGCCTGTAAGCTATGCATTTTGGGAGGCTGAGGTGGGCAGATCGTTTGAGGTCAGGAGTTCGAGACCAGCCTGGCCAACATAGTAAAACCCCATCTCTACTGAAAAAAACAAAAAATTGTCCGGGTGTGATGGTGCACACTTATAATCCTAGCCCCTCAGGAGGCTGAGGCAGGCGAATCGCTTGAACCCAAAAGGCGGAGGTTGCAGTAAGCCAAGATCGCACCACTGCACTGCAGCCTAGGCGACAGAGCAAGACTCCGTCTAAAAATCAATCAATCAATCAATAATTTGGTAACTATCAGCATTCCACACATAACAATGGATTCTAAAACCCAAGTTATGGGCTTAACATCAAGTAGTTTCTTACATATTTCTCTAAGGGCTGAGGAAATGACTGGAAAAAGCACTTGCTTCCAGGCTCACCACGGGACAGACAGGAAGGTGGGTTTCAGTGCAGTCTCTGAATACAGTTCACAGCAGCTCCACCTCTGGCTCCTGTCTACCCCCTTCTGGCCAAAACATACATTCCACTCTTAGAATTACATCAAAAGGAAGGGAAACAAACCCTGAGCTAACAGGTCCCCAAACTTCTTATATTTGCTTTGTTCTCCTTCACTTCTGGGAAGCCCAATAAACTGCTGAGAAGGAAATGTAACAGCAACCGCTCGCTGTGGGATGATACCCAGCTAAGTGCTGGAGACCTGCCAGTGGAACTCAACTTAATGGGCAGAAATCTATGAGTTAGAAAATGAATATTAGCCTTTAAAATGCTTATTCTTTTCTTTTGAGATGGAGTCTCACTCTGTCGCCCACGTTGGAGTGCAGTGGCGCAATCTCGGCTCACTACAACCTCTGCCTCCCAAGTTCAAGTGATTCTCCTGCCTCAGCCTCCCAAGTAGCTGGGACTACAGGCGCGTGCCTGGCTAATTTTTGTAATTTTAGTAGAAATGGGGTTTCACCATGTTGGTCAGGCTGGTCTCGAACTCCTAACATCAGGTGATCCACTTGCCTCAGCTTCCCAAAATGCTGGCATTACAGGCATGAGCCACCCCGCCTGGCTAAAACGCTTATTATTTTCATAAGAACACTTAAATAAATGAACCTTCCTGCTATATTTAAAATTACTCTATAGGCCAGGTGTGTTGGTTCACACCTGTAATCCCAGCACTTTGGGAGGCTGAAGTGGGAGGACTGCTTGAGCCCAGGAGTTCGAGAACATCCTAGGCAACATAGGACCCCTCTACAAAAAACAGAAAAAATTAGCTAGGCGTGGTGGTACGCACCTGTAATCCTAGCTACTCAAGAGACTGAGCTGGGAGTTATCACTTGAGCCCAGGAGGTCAAGGCTGCAGTGAGCTGTGATCATGTCACTGCACTCAAGCCTTCGTGACAGAGCAAGATTCTAGCTCAAAAAAAAAAAAAAAATCCTATAAATTGGGTTTTACCAATGAGAAGCAAAAAAATTAATTAAAATAATTCTATAAAAAGTCGCTTCAATGTATCAGCTTAATTAGTTGGTTATATAAAATGAATTAAGCATGTATACTTGGCTAGACCCATATTGTCATCGTAGAGAGATGGAAATAAACAAATTTATCAGAGAATTCCTTTTTTTTTTTTGAGACGGAGTTTCGCTCTTGTTGCCCAGGGTGGACTGCAATGGTGCAATCTTGGCTCACCACAACCTCTGCCTCCCAGGTTCAAGTGATTCTCCTGCCTCAGCCTGCTGAGTAGCTGGGATTACAGGCGTGTGCCACCACACCTGGCTAATTTTGTATTTTTAGTACAGGCAGGGTTTCTCCATGTTGGGCAGGCTGGTCTCAAACTCCTGACCTCAGGTGATCCGCCCACCTCGGCCTCCCAAAGTGCTGGAACTACAGGTGTAAACCATCGTGCCCGGTCCGAGAATTCTCTTTAAAAACTGTTAGGCCAGGCGAGGTGCCTCACAACTATAATCCAAGCACTTTGGGAGGCTGAAGTGGGCAAACCTGGGGTCAGGAGCTTGAGACCAGCCTCACCAACATGGTGAAACCCCATCTCTACTAAAAATATAAAAAATTAATCAGGCATGGTGGCAAGCACCCATAATCTCAGCTACTCCAGAGGCTGAGGCAGGAGAATCACTTGAACCCAGTAGGCAGAGGTTGCTGTGAGCCGAGATCACACCACTGCAGTCCAGCCTGGGCAACAAAGCAAGACTCTGTCTCAAAAAAAATAAAAACTGTTAGGTAAAGAAGCACCTTGGCCTTCTAGGTGCTTCTTTATAACTAACCATGAAACATGGCTAATTATAAAGAGCACATTACCTGTGGGGCAGGGGAACCCTTCCTGATACTTGCCAAAATTAAGGTTAATCACCAAAAGAAAAACATGATTTTATCTGGGTTGAAGCCAGGAACTCAGCCTGACATGCTAAATACCTCTGGTCCCCAGCAGAGAACCATCTCTACTGTAATTCCTGTGCTGTTTGGGAACTCCAGAGGCAGAAACAATTGTAATCAGTACTTGATACTATTAGGTAAGGTAATTTTTTTTTTTTTTAAGACAAGTGTCTCACTCTATCACCAAGGCTGGAGTGCAATGGCACAATCTCAGCTCACTGCAACCTCCACCTCCTAAGTTCAAGCGATTCTCCTGCCTCAGCCTCCCGAGTAGCTGGGACTACAGGTGCATGCCACCATGCCCTGCTAATTTTTTTGTATTTTTAGTAGAGACAGGGTTTCACCATGTTGGCCAGGATGGTCTCAATCTCCTGACTTTGTGATCCACCCGCCTCCGCCTCCCAAAGTTCCCCAAAGCTGGAATTACAGGCATGAGCCACCGCGCCCAGCCAGGTAATTTTAAAATATAAATACGACCGTCAAATTTTATTAAATGTCTTTTCAGCATCTATCAAGATTGAATATATTATTTTCATTTCCTCTGACCTACTAATACAACAAATCATACCAATAGCATTCCCAATATTGCACTATTCTTGCAATTCAAGAACAAGCTCACTGTGTGTGTATGGGTATTAATATACAACTGAATATCTGTGAATATTTAGAATTTTTTCATTGAGATTTTTGGGATATTTTCTTTTTAGAGATACAGTCTTGCTCTCTCACCCAGGCTGGCATGCAGTGCTGCAATCACAGCCTTGCACTCCTGAGCTCAAGAGATCTTCCTGCCTCAGTATCCCAAGTAGCTGGGACCATAAGCACACTCCACCACATCCTCCACCACACTGAGCTAACTTTTCTTTTTTTCTGTAGCGACAGCGTCTCACTATGTTGCCCAAGCTGGTCTCAAACTCCTGGGCAGCATACTGAGACTCCATGGTGAGAACTCCTGGCCTCAAGCAATCCTCTGGTCTGGGATTATAAGCATGCGCCACTGCGCCTGGCCAGAATCACCTTTTTTGTTTTGTTTTGTTTGTTTGTTTTGAGACAAAGTCTCACTCTGTCACCCAGGCTGAAGTGCAATGGCATGATCTCAGCTTACTACAACCTCTGCCTCCTGGATTCAAGTGATTCTCCTACTTCAGCCTCCTAAGTAGGAGGGTGATTTTGGATTCAAGTGATTCTCCTACTCAGCCTCATGAGTAGCTAGGATTACAGGTGTGTGCCACCAAACTGGGCTAATTTTTATAGAGACAGGGTTTCACCATGTTGGCCAGGCTAGTCTCGAACTCCTGACCTCAAGTGATCCGCCCACCTCAGCTCCCAAAGTGCTGGGATTACAGGCGTGAACCACCGCGCATGGCCACAATCACCTTTTGAGGAAGAAGAGTGATACCGTTTGGCATGAGGAGGTTAAGCCGCTCTCAGGCTGAAAACTCAACTATCCAGAGGGTCATTCTCCAAGGTTTCTCTATGTGTGGGGTGACCATATGTCTAGTTGGCCCAGAACAGTCCCCATTTACACCTGTTGTTCCAGCTTAATTATTAAAAGCACTCCCTTCAGCCATTAAAAAAAAAGAAAGAAATCCTGCCACTTGCAACAATACGGATGAACCTACAGGGCATCATGCTAAGTGAAATAAGCCAGAAAGAGAAAGAAAAATACTATATGATCTCACTCATATGTGGAACATAAAAAATTAAGGTTAAACAGAGAGTAGAGTGGTGGGTGCCAGGGCTGGGGGTGGAGGAAATGGAGAGATGCTAGTCAAAGAACACACATTTTCAGTTATGAGACAGATAAGTTTTGGGGAGCTAATGCACTGCACAGTGACTGTAACTAATATTTCTATATTGTATATTTGAAATTTATGAGAGAATAGATTATAAGTGATCTCATCACAAGAACAAAAAAATCAGGGCCAGGCACAGTGGCTCATGCCTGTAATCCTAGTACTTTGGGAGGCCAAGGTGGGTTGACTGCTTGAGGTCAGGAGTTCAAGACCAGCCTGGGCAACATGATGAAACCCAGACTCTACTAAAAATACAAAAATTATCCAGGTATGGTGGCACACACCTATAATTCCAGCTACTTGGGAGGCCGAGGCATAAGAACCCCTTGAACTCTGGAGGCAGTGGTTACAGTGAGCCGAGATCATGCCATTGTACTCTAGCCTGGGCGACAGAGTGAGACTCTGTCTCAAAAAAAAAAAAAAAATTATGGGCTGGACACAGTGGCTCAAGCCTGTAATCCCAGCACTTTGGGAGGCCGAGACGGGTGGATCACGAGGTCAAGAGATCGAGACCATCCTGGTCAACATGGTGAAATCCCGTCTCTACTAAAAGTACAAAAAATTAGCTGGGCATGGTGGTGCGTGCCTGTAATCCCAGCTACTCAGGAGGCTGAGGCAGGAGAATTGCCTGAACCCAGGGGGCAGAGGTAGCGGTGAGCCGAGATCGTGCCATTGCACTCCAGCCTGGGTAACAAGAGCAAAACTCCATCTCAAAAAAAAAAAAAAATTATATGGTCAAATACATTACACTGAAACTTTATGTTTATATGACAAGAACATATATGTGTCTATGTCTGCCTATTTATAATTGTCTAGCTATAGCTGTAAAAAAATTATTATTTTTATAGACACTAACACAGAGCATTAGAAAAAAATTTGTTTTGAGACAGAGTTTTGCTCTGTTGCCCAGGCTGGAGTACAGTGTCACCATCTTGGCTCACTGCAACCTCTGCCTCCTGGGTTCAAGCAATTCTTCTGTCTCAGCCTCTCAAGCAGATGGAATTAGAGGCATGTGCCACCATGTCTGGCTAATTTTTGTATTTTTAGTAGAGACATTTCACCATGTTGACCAGGCTGGTCTCAAACTCCCGATCTCAAGTGATCCTCCTGCTCAGACTCCCAAACTTCTGGGATAACAGGAGTGAGCCACTGAGCCTGGCCAAAAAATTTTTTTTAATTACAAAACTTTTCAGCCAGGTGTAGTGGCTCAGGCCTGTAATCTTAGCATTTTGGAGGCCACGGCAGGATGGTTTCTTGAGGCCAGGAGTCTGAGATCAGCCTGAGTAACATAATGAGACCTTGTCTCTATGTAGAAAACAAAAAATTTTGCTTTTCGATCCACCATCTGCGCCTCACGCAGGGCCGCCACTAAAATGCAGATTTTCGTGAAAACCCTTATGGGGAAGACCATCACCCTCGAGGCTGAACCCTCAGATACGATAGAAAATGTAAAGGCCAAGATCCAGGATAAGGAAGGAATTCCTCCTGATCAGCAAAGACTGATCTTTGCTGGCAAGCAACTGGAAGATGGACGTACTTTGTCTGACTACAACATTCAGAAGGAGTCTACTCTTCATCTTGTGTTGAGACTTCGTGGTGGTGTTAAGAAAAGGAAGAAGAAGTCTTACACCTCTCCCAAGAAGAATAAGCACAAGAAAAAGAAGGTTAAGCTGGCTGTCCTGAAATATTATAAGGTGGATGAGAATGGTAAAATCAGTCGCCTTCGTCGAGAATGCCCTTCTGATGTATGTGGTGCTGGAGTGTTTATGGCAAGCCACTTTGACAGACATTATTGTGGCAAATGTTGTCTGACTTACTGCTTCAACAAACCAGAAGACAAGTAACTGAGTTAATAAAAGACATGGGCCGGGCGCGGTGACTCATGCCTGTAATCCCAGCACTTTGGGAGGCCGAGGCGGGTGGATCACGAGGTCAACAGATCGAGACCATCCTGGTCAACATGGTGAAACCCCGTCTCTACTAAAAATACAAAAAATTAGCTGGGCATGGTGGTGTGTGCCTGTAATCCCAGCTACTCAGGAGGCTGAGGCAGGAGAATTGCCTGAACCCAGAAGGCGGAGGTTGCGATGAGCCGAGATTGCGCCATTGCACTCCAGCCTGGGTAACAAGAGTGAAACTCCGTCTCAAAAAAATAAAATAAAATAAAATAAAAGACATGAACTAACAAAAAAAAAAAAAAAAGGAAACAAAACAAAAAATTTTTTAACAAGAAGTTATTACTGAAGCCCAATCTCAACACACCCAACCATCCTAAAACAAATTTAAAAACCAGAAAGAACACTTAAGATATCAAAACTTCTTGTGATTTAATTTCATCATCAGAAATGTACCATCATGTAAACAAAACTGATGCTATGTTTCAAACCAAGAGAGAAAGTGTTTTCTGAAAAGGAGAGAGTGAAACTACATTGTCAAAAACAAAGTACAAACTGATAGGAGGCCTTCGAATTTTATAACGGCACAGCTGCTGGAGACCTTCAACAGAACAGGTTCAGGAGAACATGAAACCCAGAGCAGAAGGGCTTATATAACACACACATGGGAGTGAAGGACCACAGAAGCAGTGGATAGACACTATGTTCTGTCCAATATAAACAGCTGTGGGCCAGACGCGGTGGCTCACACCTGTAATTCCAGCACTTTGGGAGGCCGAGGCAGGTGGATCACTTGAGGTCAGGATTTCAAGACCAGCCTGGTCAACATGATGAAACCCCATCTCTACTAAAAATACAAAAAATTAAGCTGGGTGTGGTGGCGCATCCCTATAAACCCAGCTACTCGGGAGGCTGAGGTAGGAGAATTGCTTGAGCCCGGGAGGCAGAGGTTTCAGTGAGCCGAGATCGTGCCACTGCACTCCAGCCTGGGTGACAAAGAGAGATTCTGTCTCAAAAAAAAAAAAAAAATTACAGAGTTCCTTCTAATCTATAAAATTCAATCACCATTAAGAAAACTGAAAACTTAGAAGGCCTTATCTTTATAGAGAGAGGTACACAGAAATGAGGAGCAGCCAGCACTCACCTACAGCCTGAGAAGTGAATGCCGCGACAATCTGCGGACTGGCTAGGGCCTCCAGTCTGTTCTTCAGTGCCTCCAAGTGCACACATTTTTCAGAGTAGTCTGGTGTATCAACAAGCATCATCAAGCTATTCTGCATACCTGTTAGCTTGGCAGAAATCACAGCTATGTCCTAGAAAAGAACAGAATAGAGGATGTTTATTTATTTATTTTTTGAGACAAAGTCTTACTCTGTCATCAGGCTGAAGTGCAGTGGCACAATCTTGGCTCACTACAACCTCCGCCTCCTGGGATCAAGCAATTCTCCTGCCTCAGCCTCTCAAGTGTCTGGGACTACAGGTGTGCGCCACCATGCCTGGCTGATTTTTGTATTTTTAATAGAGACAGGGTTTCACCATGTTGACCAGGCTGGTCTCGATCTCTTGACCTTGTGATCTGCCTGTCTTGGACTCCCAAAGTGCTGGGATTACAGGTGTATATTTGTAACTTTTTAAAAATTTTGCTTGATGAATCATTCATTTTGCTTTACAATTAAGAGTTTTTCATAAGACATCATCTTACTTCATCCTTACATCTAGGTGTCAAAACTATTACTATTTTCCACAGTTTGCAGCCTCAGAGGGGGTCAATAACTCACCAAGTCCCCATGGTATATAAGGCTCCCCCCTCCCCATGTTCCACCCTCTCATTCATTTACCCCCAATGTTCTCCGCCTGCACGGTTTTTCTTCTTTTTTTTTTTTTAAGACAGGGTCTTGCTCTGTCTCTCAGGTTGGAGCGCAGTGGTATGATCATAGTTTACTGTGTCCTTCAACTCTTGAACTCAAGAGATTCTCCTACCTCAGCCTCCTGAGTGGCTGGAACTACAAGTGTGCACCACCACGCCTGGCTAATTTGTTAATTTTTATTTTATTTTTTGTAGAGATGGGGGTCTCATTGCCCAAGCTGGTCTCAAACTCCTGGCCTCAAATGATCTTTTCACCTCAGCATTCCAAAGAGCTCGGATTCCAGGCATGGGTCACTGTGACTGGTGCCTGTACATCTTTATGGAGGCTTCTCCTGAACTCACTCTGAGACTAAGAGGCTTCAGTCACACAGACTGTGCAAGCCAAAGACACTGGAAGCACACCGAGCAGTTTCAGATCTTCCCCACCCTGAGTCTGAAGATTTCTGAATACTATTGGCAATCAACTCTCCCTTATGGTTTTGACAAATGCTATCTCTTTTGCTTTCTCCAAACCTCAAGTTCTTGCTTAAATACCTTTCATAACATCCTCTAAACAAGAAACCTACCTGAGTCTTAAATGTCTCCTCAATATCAGCACTCAACGTGCTCCACTTATCTGCTTCCTGAAGAGATTCGGCAGCAAGTTGCATTCTGGACTTCACCTGGTCAATTTCGACCAACACCTGAAAGAGATAAGAGGGGTGAAAAATGAAGTGGTAGGTCCTTTTTCTCCACCTGCCAGCAGGGACTTGAAATGTAAGTATGGTGGCATGCCCCTGTCTTTAGGAAGCTTCTGTCTCCTAAAACACTAATCATCTGACTAAATTTAATCAGCAGTGCTGAAGAGGTGAATCAGCTCAAAGACCCAAGCATAAGCATAGTTTTGGGGCCAGGCACAGTGGCTCATGCCTGTAATCCCATCACTTTGGGAGGTTGAGGCAGGTGGATTACCTGAGGTCAGGAGTTCGAGACCAGCCTGACCAACATGATGAAACCCCAACTCTACTAAAAATACAAAAATTAGCCAGGTGTGGTGGCACATGCCTGTAATCCCAGCACTTTGGAAGGCCAAGGTGGGAGGATCACTTGAGACCAGGAGTTCAAGACCAGCCTGGGCAACATGGTGAAACCCTGTCTTTACTAAAAATACAAAAATCAGCTGGACGTGGTGTTGCACGTCTGTGATCCCAGCTACTTGAAAGGCTGAGGCACAAGAATTGCTTGAAGCTGAGAGGCAGAGGTTGCAGTGAGCTGAGATCACGCCGCTGTACTGCAGCCTGCATTCCAGAAACAGAGCGAGACTGTGTCTCAAAAAAAGGATAGCATAGTTTGAGTGCTGGGGCAGAATCCTGAGTGATGGCTGGCTTCCCAAAACACCGTGCTGTTCTAAACCCCTTATGAAAGTGAACACCTTCCCAAAACAAGAATCACCATTTACGACAGGAGCCAAAATACCTGCATGGATTGAGATGTATCCTGTTCAAATTTTTTAATGTCCTCCTTGACAAGAATCATCTGTTCTTTCAGGAAAGATGCCTCCTGTTTTAGAGCTTCAACATCACGGAGCACTTTGGGCATGTTCTGGAGTGCTTGGTGACTTGTTTCTATAGCAAAAAAAAAAAAAAAAAAAATCAAGACCAGCAATATCCACAAAAGGTGAAAGGTGAAAGCTGGACCAGTCACCAGTAAAAAATAGGAAACAAATCAGACAACAGAAAGGAAACGCAGGACCAACCACACAGTTATAGGAGCCTGCAGAAAATATGGGACAGGAGAGAGTATGGGCAGTGAGGTGGCCCCTGTCAGCATCACGTCCCCAGACTGATGGGAAAGGACCTTTGATTTCACAAGGAATGAGCAATCAACCTGTCCCAACACCAACTGTTTACCACCACCAGTGAAATCATAACTCCATTTGCAAGGAGGCGTGCCCAGGGGCTTTTATACAAATGTCCATGGCAGTCATTGCAGCCACCTTCTACTGATAAGAAAAGTCAGAGATTAACTTGACCAAGATCTTACAGAGCTAAAACTAAGCTTCACATGGGTCTGGCCCTAGTGTCTGCTTTCCATGGTTTTTTTGTTTGTTTGGTTTTTGGGTTTTGGGTTTTTTTTTTTTTCCAATACAGAGTCTCACTCTGTCCCCCAGGCTGGAGCACAATGGCGCAATCTCAGCTCACTGCAACTTCCGCCTCCTGGGTCCAAGCAATTTTCCTGCCTCAGCCTTCCAAGTATGGGGATTACAGGCGTCTGCCAACAAGCCCAGCTAATTTTTTGTATTTTTAGTAGAAACAAGGTTTCGCCATGTTGGCCAAGGCTGGTCTTGAACTCTTGACCTTAGGGGATCCACCTGCCTCGGCCTCCCAAAGTGCTGGGATTACAGGCATGAGCCACCGCACCCAGCCTATTTTAAAATTCTTTTTGAGACAGGGCCTCCTCACTCTGTGGCCCACACTGGAGTGCAGTGGTGCAGTCACAGCTCACTGCAACCTCAGCCTCCTGGTCTTGGGTGATCCTCCTACCTCAGCCTCCTGAGTAGCTGGGACTACAGGCACACACCACCAGGACTGAATAATTTTCATATATTTTGTAGAGACAGTGTTTCTCCATGTTGCCCAGGCTGGTCTCAAACTCCTGGGCTCAAGGGACCTGTCTGGCTAGGCCTCTCAAAATGCTGTGATTGTAAGTGTGAGCCACAATGCCAAGCCTAAAAATATCTTAAATCTACCCATTACTCGTCATCTTCACTGCCATCAACCCAGCTGAAGCCACTGTTATCTTTTCTGGGCCTCAGCAATAGCCTCCTGAACCATGTTACTCCGCTGCTTTAAAATCCTACAATGTTTTATTTTTAAATTTTATTTAAAATTTAAATTAAAAAAAATTTTATTTTAAATTTAAATTAAATTCAAACTCTATTTATTTATTGAGACAGAGTCTCCCTCTATTACTCAGACTGGAGTGCAATGGCACAATCTCAGCTCATTGCAACCTCTGCCTCCCAGGTTCAAGCGACTCCTCTGCCTCAGCCTCCAAGTAGTTGGGATTGCAGCTGTGTACCACCACGTCCAGCTAATTTTGGTGTTTTTAGTAGAGACAGGGTTTCGCTGTGCATGAGGCTAGTTTCAAACTCCTGATCTCAAGTGATCCGTCCACCCTTAATTTTTTAAATTTTTAGTAGAGATGGGATTTCATCATGTTAGCCAGGCTGGTCTTGAACTCCTGACTTCAGGTGATCCACTTGCCTCAGCCTTCAAAGTGCTGGGATTACAGGTATAAGCCACCACGCTTGGCCTTAAATTCAAACTCTAATGTGACAATGAAATCCCTGCATAGCACTCTAACCTGGGTGACAGAGCAAGACCCCATTTCTTAAAAATAAAACATAATGTGGCCCCTGTGGACCTCTCCAATCCAAGACTGGGTCTTGTTCAACAGTGTATTTTTGAACCTAGAAAAGAGTTTGTGCCCAATAAATATTTGTTGACTGACTAAATGAAGAAATCAGTCCTCCAATTTGGGGTCCTCAACATCTGCTTGAACCGCCACAATCATCTTTCTTCATCGCAGACTTGGGCCCTGGTACTTCCAAAGTACCAGGATTACAGGTGTGAGTCACTACACCCAGCCAATTTGCTATTATATTATTATTAATATCCTTTCTCTTTGCCCTACAAAATTTTCCTTCAAGGTCTAACACAGGGAAGTGCTTTATGATTCTTCTAAACAAGATGTAACTGAACCCTCCTGCCAGCTCTCACAACTCCAGATTCTCTTCTCAGTAAAGCCACCACTCATTGTAATTTAACTGTGTTTCTATCTTCCCCACAGGCAGCAAGCTCCAGCAAGATAAACTTTTCCTCCCCACTGCCCATTTCTGGACACGTGCATAGTAAGTGCTCAATAATTAGTAAAAGATGCAAGGTACAATAAAGAATATGGGCTAGGCCGGGCGCAGTGGTTCAAGCCTATAATCCCAGCACTTTGGGAGGCTGAGGCAGGTGGATCACGAGGTCAAGCGATCGAGACCATCCTGGTCAGCATGGTGAAACCCCGTCTCTACTAAAGATGCAAAAAATTAGCTGGGCATGGTGGCACGTGCCTGTAATCTCAGCTGCTTGGGAGGTTGAGGCAGGAGAATTGCCTGAACCCAGGAGGTGGAGGTTGCGGTGAGCCGAGATTGCGCCATTGCACTCCAGCCTGGGTAACAAGAGCGAAACTCCGTCTCAAAAAAAAAAAGAATATGGGCTGGGCACAGTAGCTCACACCTATAATCCCAGAACTTTGGGAGGCAAAGGCTGGAGGATCGCCTGAGCTCAGGAGTTTGAGACCAGCCTGGACAACATAGTGACAGGCCATCTCTACAAAAAAATTAAAAAATTAGCTTGGCATAGTGGTACATGCCCATGGTTATTCAGGACGCTGAGGTAAGAGAACTGCTTGAGCCCATGAGGTGAAGCTGCAGTGAGCAATGATTGTGCCACTGCCCTGTAGCTTGGGAGACAAAGTGAGACACTGTCTCAAGAAAGAAAAAAGAAAAGAAAAGAGAGAAATAAAACCATCTGCAGTGAAATAAAGCCCCATCCCTATCTTTATTTAAACAATGGGCACATCTGGTCAGGTGCAGTGGCTCAGGCCTGTAATCCCAGCACTTTAGGTGGCCAAGAAAAGTGCATCACCCGAGACCTGAAGTTTGAGACCAGCCTGGGCAACATGATGAAACCCCATCTCTACTAAAAGTACAAAATTAGCTGAGCGTGGTGGTGAGTAACTGTAATCCCAGCTACTCGGGAGGCTGAGGCAGGAGAATCATTTGAACCAGGAGGCAGAGGCTGCAGTGAACCAAGATGGTGCCACTGCACATCAGCCTAGCGGACAGAGCAAGATTTCATCTCAAAACAACAAAAAAAAGGGAACATCTCTTGGACCATCCACTTCCAGTAGAAGCAGTCTGTTTGGTCTTTCCAACTGAGCCTAGGAAAGAGACTTGTGTGCAGTACGTACTGCATCAACACACAGTGAATAAAAGTCAGGTCAAGGAGTTACGTGAAATGGTTGCCAGTACATGTTATTTTTTATAATTTAACTTATCCTCAAAAACTGGTTTAGGCCAGATATGGTGGTTCACACCAGTAATCCTAGAGCTTTGAGAAGCCAAGATGGGAGAATTACTTGACGTCAGGAATTTGAGGTCAACCCGGACAACACAGTGTGACCTGATCTTTTTTTTTTTTTAATTTAGCCAGGCATGGTGGCACATGGCCTGTAGTCCCTGTTACTTGGGAGGCCGAGACGAGAGGACTGTTTGAACCCAGGAGTTGGAGGCTGCATGAGCTATGCTGGTATCACTGCATTCCAGCTTGGGCAGCAGAATAAGGAATGAGACCCTCTCTCCAAAAAAAAAAAAAAAAAAAAAAAAAAGCTTTAAGTCTCCATTAAGACCAGCCTATCTTCCTGAGCTGACATGAAATCCACTAAAACAGAGTTTTCTATGTCATTCCCTTACACCTATACTATAATACATTTAGTGCCAGATACAGGAATCCATTGGCTACTTCCTTCATACTCTCAAAATTCACTCTTCTTTTTTCTTTTAACAGTTTATTGTTTGATACAAAAACAGGCTCTTTAACTCTTTGAATAAACATCTCACAAACTCTGGCTCCTAGGTTACAAAAAGTCAAAGCCAATTTTCTTGGATACTGGGCCCTTGACTCTGACATTCAAGTCACCATAACAGAAACCCAGAAACCAGAGCTGTGGTATCTTACATTCTGGAAGGTGACTCAACAAAGGCATGTTAAGAATAGTTTAAAAAACTTCTAGCATTTAAAAAGATCCATCTTATCTTCCAATGCCTATAGATAATAATAAAAAGGGAATTCCAGAGATCTGCCATTGAGTTAGAGAAGGAGAACTTCAATAAAATCCACTCTTTTAAAGTTTCAAGAGGAAACTTTAGGCCAGATGTGGTGGCTCACACGTATAATCACAGAACTTTGGGAGGCCAAGGCTGGAAAACCCATTGTGCCCAGGAATTTGAGACCAGCCTAGGCAACAGAGTGAGATCCCATCTCTACAATTTTTTTTTTATTATTGTATTTTAGATTTTGGGGTACATGTGAAGAACATGCAAGATTGTTGCATAGGTACACACATGGCAGTGTGATTTGCTGCCTTCCTCCCCATCACTTATAACTGGCATTTCTCCCCATGCTATCTCTCCCCAACTCCCCACCCCCTGATGATAGACTGGACAGGGAAAATGTGACACATACAACACGGAATATTATGCAGCCATCAAAAACAATAAGTTCGTGTCCTTTGTAGGGACATGGATGAACCTGGAAACCATTATTCTCAGCAAACTGACACAAGTACAGTTTTTTTTAACAAAATTAGCGGGGCGTGGTGGCTTGCACCTGTAGTCCCAGCTACTCGGGAAGCTAGAGGATCGCTTGAGTGCAGGAGTTCGAGGCTGCAGTGAGCTATGATCGAGCCACTGCATTCCAGCCTGGGCAACAGAGTGAGACCCTGTTTCAAAAGAAAAAACAAAAAGAAAGAAAAGAAAAAGGAAACTTATAGCCCAGGCAGAAGAGGAAAAGCAAGTGTTTAAGACAGCGCGGCACCCAGCTGAGACTCCTGCTGATGGGATCAGGACTTCCGCTAGCCAAGGGAAGCACAGGTGTTTGCTGTCCATGCGTGCACCGCCCACCCAGGTGCCCCACGCAAGTCCGGGGACCTCTGCCCAGCGGAGCGCAGGGGAGGGTCCCGCGGCCAGGGCCCCTCGCGGCTCACCCTCCACGGCGTGGTTCACCTCTTGGATGAACAGCTGCAGCTTCATCACCAGGGTGGCTGCGTGGCCGTCCGCCTTCCCGGTCGCCGCCTCCTTGGAGCCGGCCCTAAAGGCCGCATTGATCCACTCCTTCACGTCAAAGTCGTCGGCCAGGAACTTGGAGAAGTCCATGGCGGCACTGTCTCAGGCCTGGCGTCCAGGACTTAAGAGTTGGCTTCGGGAGGCAACGAGGATGCAGAAGCGAGCGAATCTGCGAGAACTCCGAGTATGTCCTCCGGAGGCGAACCCTGGAACCTCGAGGACAGGTAGCTTACCCCTTTGCGCTTCTCTGTTGAGCCCACTCGGGTTGCGGCTGGGAATGACCCTCGCCGCGCGCCGTTCTTCTTCCGGAAGTGGTTGGCCGTTACCATAGCGACTGCGGGCGTTTGGAGCGCTGAGTTAAACTGTGTTGCGTGTGGGAGAAACGCCCTAGACTGAGAGCTCCCGGCACCGACGAAAGTCCCGCATCTGGTAACATTTGGCAAGGACTAAACTATGTACTTACTATGAAGCCCTGACACACGATTAGTGCATTTACCCGGTGGCTCACGCCTGTAATCCCAGCTCTTTGGGAAGCCGACGCGGGAGAATCGCTTGAGGCCAGGAGTTCAAGAACAGCCTGGACAACAGTGGAGTGCAGTGGGCAGCAATGGAGGGCAATGAAACGATCTTAGCTCACTGCAGCCTCAAATTCCTGGGTTCAAGCGATCCTCCCACCTCAGCTTCCCGAGTACCTGGGACTACAGGTGCGCGCCACCACTCCCCGCTCTTTTCTTTTTCTTTTTTTACGGAGTCTTGCTCTGTCACCCAGTTTGGAGTGCAGTGGCACGAACTCGGCTCACTACAACCTCCGCCTTCCAGTTCAAGCCATTCTCTTGCCTCAGCCTCCATAGTAGCTGGGATTACCGGCGCCCGCCACCACACTAATTTGTTTGTTTGTTTGTTTGTTTTAGACAGAGTCTCACTCTGTTGCCCAGGCTAGAGTGCAGTGGCACGATCTCAGCTCACTGCAACCTCTGCCTCCCGGGTTCAAGCAATTCTCCTGTCTCAGTCTCCCGAGTAGCTGGGATTCGGTGCGCTCCATCACGCCCAGCTAATTTTTGCATTTTTTGTAGAGACGGGGTTTCTCCATGTTGGCCAGGCTGGTCTCGAACTCCAGACCTCAGGTGATCCTCCTGCCTCAGCCTCCCAAAGTGCCGAGATCACAGGCTTGAGCCACCTCGCCTAGCCTTATTTTCTTAACTATGTGTTTTGAGGTGCACACCTTTTAAAGTTTGATAAAATTCATTATCACTTTTTTTGTGGATCATGCTTTTGGTGTTGTGGCTGAGAAATCTGTGCTTAACCTACAATCGTAAAGAATTTCTCGGTCGGATGCCGTGGCTCACGCCTGTAATCCCAACACTTCGGGAGGTTGAGGCAGGTGGATGCCGAGACCGGCCATTGCACTCCAGCCTGGGCGACAGAACTGAGACTCTTGTCTCAAAAAATAAAAATAAATAAAATAAAATAAAATTCTCAGTCTGGGCAACATAGGAAACCCCTGGCTCTGCAAAAAATTTAAAAATTAGCCGGGTGTGGTGGCGCCACTGTAGTCCTTGCTACTGGAGATGCTGGAGTGGGAGGATTGCCTAAGCGCAGGAGGTAGAGGCTACAGTGAGCCATGATCACGCCATTGCACTCCTCCAGCCTAGGTAACAGAGCAACATCCTGTCTCGAGAAGAAAAGAAAAGGGAGTGGGGTAGTGTGAGGGTATTTTTTAGGTTCTAAGATTTTACGTTGTTTCAAGAGTGGGACCAACCCAAGAGGGAGGACAAGATGTCATCCTTTGAAACCCTACAGGGAACAGTTTTTCCAGAGTGCCCTGTAGTTGGGTTATGAGTGGCTGGCTGCCATCTCCATGCCTGATAGCCACTGGTTTTTCATTGGCATCTCCTTTAGTTTGTCTCATTCTTCTGGGTTAGGTAGGTTTTAACTGGGGTAACTCTTCTCCTAGGAGTCCCAATTTTTGGGGGGAGGGGAGAGAAGGGGAGGGGAGGGGAGCAATCTGATAGTGTAAGTCCTCTTACTTTGTTCTTTTTTAAACTTTGCTGCTCTGGCCCGACATGGTGGCTCACACCTGTAATCCCAGCACTTTGGAAGGCCAAGGCAGGTGGATCACAAGGTCAGGTGTTAGAGACCAGCCTGACCAACATGTGAAACCCCGTCTCTATTAAAAATACAAAAATTAGCCAGGCATGGCGGCATGCACCTGTAATCACTGCTACTCAGGAGGCTGAGGCAGGAGAACCGCTTGAACCCGGGAGGCAGAGGTTGCAGTGAACCAAGCCACTGCACTCCATCTCAAAAAAAAAAAAAAAAAAAAGAAATTGCTGCTCCAGGCCCTTTGCATTCCCATCTTACCATCAGTTCTTAAAAAAAGGAAGAAGAAAAGAAAAAAAAATCCTGCTGGAACTTTGATAAAAATTACGTTGAACTGATGGATGAATTTGAGAATTGCCATCAAGACAATATTGAATCTTCTAATCCGTAACTTATTTTAGATTGGAATTTTTCAGACTTGGCACTATCGAGGCCAGATAATTTTTGGTTATGGGGGCCTGTCCTATGCATTGTGATGTACTTAGCAGCATCCCTGGCCACTACCCATTAGGAGCAACATCCTCTCCTCCAAGTTGTGACAACCAAAAATCTGTCTAAACAGTGCCAAGTGTCCCCTAGTGGGAATCACCCTTGATGATTGAGATCTGATTAAGGTCTTTTTAAATTTCTCTCAGCAATATTTTGTAGTTTTCATTGTGTAATACAAGTCTTGCACTTCTTTTGTTAAATTTATAAGAATTTCCTTTTAATGCTACTGTGAATGGAATTTTCTTAATTTTCATAATATCTTGTTACAGAAAAACAGTTTTTCTGAGACATAGTCTTCCTCTGTCTTGCAGTGGAGCAATCTCAGCTCAATGCAACCTCCATCTCCAGAATTCAAATGATTCTCCTGCCTCAGCCTCCAGAGTAACTGGGACTACAGGCACCCACCACCACATGGCTAATTTTTGCATTTTTAGTAAAGATGGGGTTTCGCCATGTTGGCCAGGCTGGTCTTGAACTCCTGACCTCAGGGTGATCCACCCTCCTTAGCCTCCCAGAGTGCTGGGATTACAGGCAGGAGCCACTGTGCCCAGCAACAACTTATTTCTATAGATTTATCTTGTTCCTTTGGCTGTTAATTTTCTAGTTTTTGCGTGGGGGTGTTGCTTGGGATTTGTTTACATACAGAATCATGTCATCTATGAATAGACACTTCCTTTTCCCTTTCTAGTTTGGTTCTTTTTTTTTTTTTTGGAGATGTAGTTTCGCTCTTGTTGCCCAAGCTGGAGTACAATGGCGAGATCTTGGCTCACTGCCTCGGCCTACTGAGTATCTGGGATTACAGGTGCCCACCATCACATCTGGCTAAATTTTTGTATTTTTAGCAGAGACAGGGTTTCACCATGTTGGCCAGGCTGGTCTCAAACTCCTGACCTCAGGTTCAAGACCTGCCTTGGCTTCCTAAAGTGCTGGGATTACAGGCGTGAGCCACCATGCCCAGCCAGAAGTCCCTTTCTATTCCTAGTTTGTTGAGTTTTTTTAGGATGTTGGGTTTTTGTTTTGTTTTGTTTTTCTCTGCCTGTTGAGATAATCATGTGGTTCTTGTCACATTCTATTCAAATGACATAGTAATTGATTTTAAGATGGTAAATCAATCTTGGGACCGGGCACAGTGGCTTATGCCTGTGATCGTAGCACTTTGGGAGGTCAAGGTGGGCTGATCGCTTGAGGCCAGGAGTTCGAGACCAGCCTGGCCAGCAGGGTGAAACCTACTGAAAATACAAAAATTAGGTGGGCATGGTGGCACACACCTGTAATCCTAGCTATTTGGGAGGCTGAAGCACAAGAATCACTTGAACTGGGAGGTGGAGGCTGCAGTGAGCCAAGATTGCATCATTGCACTCTGGCCTGGGTGACAGAGAGAGATCCTGTTTTGAAAATAACAAGATATTAAACAAATCTTGCATTCCTGGGATAAATGCTACAGGGTCATAGTGTATAATGACATTTTTGTTACTGGATTTGCTTTGCTAATATTTGGGGGAAGATTTTTGTGTTTATATTCAAGCCTGCATGTTTGTGGGGCGTATTGGTCTGCAATTACTTTTTTTGTGATGTTTTTCTCTGATTTTTGTATACAGTTAATAGAGGTCTTAGAGAATGAGAATCAGAGAAGGGAACTGATCCTCCCTTCTTTATCAGTTTGTGAAGGAGTAATATTACTTCTATAAATACTTGACAAAATTCAAAGTGAAGCCATTTGGACTTGGATGTTAATTTGTGGAAAATTTTTAAATTACTAATTCAACTTATTTACTTGATATAGGTCTACTCAGATTTTCTATTTCTTGAATCACTTTTTTTTTTTTTTTTTAAAGGCAGAGTTTTGTTCTTGTTGCCCAGGCTGGAGTGGAATGCACGATCTCAGCTCACTGCAACCACTACCTCCTGGATTGAAGCAATTCTCCCACCTCAGCCTCCCAAGTTGTGGGGATTACAGGCATGAACCACCACGCTATTTTTGTATTTTTAGTAGAGACGGGTTTTGCCATGTTGGCCAGGCTAGTCTTGAACTCCAGACCTCAGGTGATTCACCCACCCTGGCCTCCCAAAGTTCTGGGATTAGAAGTGTGAGCCACCGCACCTGGTCTCCTTTTATCATTATTAAATGTACTTTTTTTGTCTCTAGTAATGCTTGTCTTAAAGTTTATTTTGTGCCAGGTGCAGTGGCTCATGCCTACAATCCCAGCCCTTTGGGAGGCTGAGGAGGGCAGATCACTTGAGGTCAGAAGGTCAAGAGCAGCCTGGCCAACACGATGAAATCCTGTCTCTACTAAAAATACAAAAATTAGCCAGGCATGATGGCAGGCGCCTGTAATCCCATCTATTCAGGAGGCTGAGCCAGGAGAATCATTTGAACCCAGCAGGTGGAGCCTGCTGTGAGGTGAGATCATGCCATTGCACTGCAGCCTGGGCTACAGAGCGACTCCATCTAAAAAAAAAAAAAGGCCATTTTGTGTGATATTAACATAGCCATTCCAGCTTTATGATTACTACGTGCATGGCTAATCTTTTATCCTTCTTTTACTTCCAACTGATTTGTGAACCTAACAGTGACTTTTTTTTTTCTTTTTTGAGACGGAGTTTTGCTCTCGTTACCCAGGCTGGAGTGCAATGGCGCAATCTCGGCTCACCGCAACCTCTGCCTCCTGGGTTCAGGCAATTCTCCTGCCTCAGCCTCCCGAGTAGCTGGGATTACAGGCACGTGCCACCATGCCCAGCTAATTTTTTGTATTTTTAGTAGAGACGGGGTTTCATCATGTTGACCAGGATGGTCTCGATCTCTCGACCTCGTGATCCACCCGTCTCGGCCTCCCAAAGTGCTGGGATTACAGGCTTGAGCCACCGCGCCTGACCAGAGTATCTTTTATAGACAGCATATAGTTGGAATTTGGTGGTGGTGGTGTTTTCAATCCAGTATGACAGTTTCCACCTTTTTGGAGACAGAGTCTGGCTCTGCCACCCAGGCTGGAGTGCCGTGGTTGATCTTATCTCACCACTGCCTCCTCTGCAACCTTTGCCTCCTGGGCTCAAGCCAACCTCCTACCTCAACCTCCTGAGTAGCTGGGAATACAGATGTATGCCACCATTCCCACCTAATTTTTAGAGACAGGGGTCTCACTGTGTTGCCCAGGATGGTCTCAAACTCCTGGACTCAAGCAATCCTCTCATCTCAGCTTCCCAAAGTGCTGGGATTACAGGCTCCAGTTGCCTCATGGTTTCCTCACAGCCTTTTGAGTTAAGGCAGGTAGTATTTATATTTCCAGAAGAGGAAACTGTAGGTGAGATGAGGCTATGCTGTAGAGAAACTTGAAGGCTAGGGAAATTGATTGTACTTAATCCAAAAAGATATGCAGTACTAATTAAATGTGATTAGAGATGTAGTAGGGTCAGGCTGGGCATGGTGACTCATGCCTGTAATCCCTACACTTTGTGAGGCCAGGAGCCCAAGACTAGCCTGGGCAATGTGGTGAGGCCCTTATCTCTACAAAAATTGAAAACTTAGCCAGTTGTAGCAGCACTACCTGTAGTCCTAGCTACTTGGGAGGCCAAAGTGACAGGATCCCTAGAGCCCAGGAGTTTGAGGCTGCACTGAGCTGTGGCCATGCCACTGCACTCCAGCATGTCTCTTAAAAAAAAAAAAGAAAAACTGGGCATGTGAAGGCGACACAAGAACACCATGTGGCAATGAAGGCAAAACTGGAGTTATGCAGCTGCAGGCCAAGGAAGCCAAAGATGGTGGAAGCCAGCAACCACCAAGATTCTCCTAACAGGCTTCAGAGGAAGAACCATGGCCCCAATTTTAGACTCCCAGCCTGCAGAACTGAGACAACACATCTGTTGCCTTAAACAACCCAGCTTGTGGTCATTGTCATAGCAGTTCTAAGGAACTAATACAGAGAAAAATGAACATTTTGACTGTGACTTTTTTTTAGATGGAAGTTTCGCTCTGTCACCCAGGTTGGAGTGCAGTGGCACGATCTCAGCTCACTGCAACCTCCAACTCCTGGATGTAAGTCATTTTCCTGCCTCAGCCTCCCCAATAGCTGGGATTACAGGCACCTGCCACCACGCCTGGCTAATTTTGTTATTTCTAGGGGTTTCTCCACGTTGGTCAGGCTGGTCTCGAACTCCTGACCTAAGGTGATCCGCCCACCTTGGCCTCCCAAAGTACTGGGATTACAGGCATGACCCATTGTGCCCAGCTTTCTTTTGTCTCCTGTTGCCAGGCTATAGTGCAGTAGTCCAATCTCGGCTCACTACAATCTCCGCCTCCTCTTCTGCCTCAGCCTCCCAAGTAGTTGGGACTACAGACATGTGCTACCATGCCTAATTTTTAAATTTTTTTTTTTTTTAGTAGAGACGGGGTTTCACCATATTGGTCAGGCTGGTCTCAAACTCCTGACCTCATGATCCACCTGCCTCAGCCTCCCAAAGTGCTGGGGATTATAGGGATGAGCCACTGTGTAAAGCCGGTATGGTCAGATTTTATTAAAGTATCAACCTTTTCTGCTGCCTATGCAAATATTCATAAGCTATTGGCATTCTTAGCACAACTTCTGTGGTTTTATGAGAGCAGGAGAGGCTGTGAAATGAACTGTGATGAGTCACCACTGTTATAATGGTTAAAAAAAATCTCAGATGTGAAGGTAATTTGAGAAATAACACCTAAACTTATAGAGTATCTCTTTTATCTGCTATTTCATACACTTCATTAAATTCTCACTAAAATGTATAAACTTCTAACATTTTTACCATTAAAAACTGAGGCCCAGAGATCACTGACTTGCCAAAGATGCTACAGGTGGCATAAAACTAGAAATTGAACCAGATTTCCCAGCCCATACTTGGTTCACTCTAGTGTACAGGGCTGCCAGAATGAAGGCAAGAGAGGGCTGCCAGGGAAAAGTCTGGCCTGCTTGGGCACCTGGGAATGGTGCAAGTGGGAAGGACAGGATATAAGGAAACTATGAGGGAATTGCTAGCCCCCGAGTTTGAATATGCAGCACTTTCAATGCATAAATGCTTGATTTGTATCATATGAACTCAGGGGGGAGAGCAGGGTTATTCTTTTCATTCATTCATGCTGATAATGGCATTATCTCCAAGTGTTACATGAATAGAACAAAACACAGAACAGTGTACTGTATTTTCTTGAACATGCCTAGAATCCCTCTGAAAAGACAAAAGATGGTAGCTGGGTGGGAAGAATTTTCGCCTTTCATAATTTTGAATCCTATCAATGTCTTTATCTGCTTAAAAAAAAAAATGCCAACACCAAGCATAAAAAACAAGATTTTCAGATTAGAAATTTTCAAAGTTCAGATAAAATTTAAAGGAAACATCTGTAATTCCATGACCCAAAGATTACCGCACTGTCACAATGTGCACACAAACATCTTTGTGCATCGCTTGGCTTTAAAACGGGTCAGGACATGGTGGCTGGCTCACACCTGTAATCCCATCACTTTGGGAGGTCAAGGTAGGAGGATCGTTTGAGCACAGGAGACCAACCTGGGCAACACAGATCCCGTCTTTACCAAGAACTGAAATATTAGCTGGGCATGGTGGCAGGCATCTGTAGTCCCAGCTACTCCGGAGGCTGAAGCAGGAGGATCACCTGAGCACAGGAATTCAAGGCTGCATCGAGCTACAATTGTGCCACTGCACTCCGGCCTGAGCAACAGCAAAGCCGTCTCAACAACAAAAAACCCCACTTTTATACTCTTGACACTGTGTAAGCATCTTCTATAATGGATATATTTAAAGGATTTGGGATTAATACTGTAGTAGGCAAGCAATATTTGTATTCTAGAATATTGCCTTTGCTTTCTACTTTTAGTCTCAATTTACAGTCTTTACTAGCTAATATTCAGTTTTGTTTTGGTTGTCATTTCTCCTTTTTTTTTGAGACCGAGTCTCACTCTGTCGCCAGGCTGTAGTATCGGCACGATCTTGGCCCACCCCAACGTCCACCTCCCCCAGGTTGAAGAGATTCTCCTGCCTCAGCCTCCTGAGCAGCTGGGACTACAGGGTGCCCACCACTATGCCCAGCTAATTTTTAGTGGAGACAGGGTTTCACCATGTTGGCCAGGATGGTCTCGATTTCTTGACCTCGTAATCCGCCCACCTTGGCTTCCCAAGTGCTGGAATTACACACATGAGCAGCACACTCGGCCCATTTATCCTGTTTTCAACACTGTATTCATTACCTGTTTATGTTCAAAGAGTAGCTTACAGATAAGGTAACATTTTTGCCCAGTCTTAAGTTTGTGGAATAGATAACAGGAAGAGTAATTAACTACATATGTAGGCAAAAGGTTATGACAAAACATGGCATTATCAGGGCTTGAAAGGACTTTATTGTGGCTGTGGTGAAGCAGGCCCTAGTCTTGGCAGATGATACCAGAAGGGCACCGAGTGCCAATGTGCAACTTGAATTTGATCCCGTAAGCAGGTAAGTATCAGGAAGCCATTCAGAATTTTTCACCTGGTCAAATGCTCAGATTTGCAGTTGGTACTCAGAATTGGGACACAGGCATTGTCAAAAAAGAAAACAAAAAGCCCAAACCAGAGCAGTGACAATGTAAGTGCAGGGAGGATGTGATATGGGATTATGCAGAAAACAGGCAACATGACATGAAATTACTCTGTGGATACAATGAAGCAGGAATCAGGGACCCAGTAAGTCTCAGGTGCTTCCAAGTAAGAGCATGTAGGTGGAAAAGGGCAGGACTGTGGGTTCCATTCTAAGTAACTGAGATTGAAGCAACAGTGGAATCTCCAGCTACAGATACCCACTGACAGAATGAAATATCATCTGGGCTCAGCAATGAGGTGGCAGCTTGAGAGAGATCTATAATCCATCTACATGGTTTAGAGCCACCTGACTGCCAGGCGTGTGGATGGGCAAGTCCTGAAGACTGGACTCTGGAAAACCACCACACTTAAGGGACAGAGGAGTAAGAGCAGTCATAGAGGTAGGTCAAGAAATAGGGATAAACAGGGAACCCTGCAGAGTTCAGGATACTGGAAAGCACTGGCCATGAGGGCCAGAGCTCCAACACACACATCATGAATTTGCTTCTCCCCAAAGAACAGAAGCTCCTTCAGGGTGGTACCTGGCTCAGGGAAGCTTGTCAATAACTTTTTTTTTTTAAATAGAGACAAGGTCTCACTATGTAGCCCAGGATGGACTTGAAATCCTGGGGTCAAGCGATCATCCCATTCAGCCTCCAAAAATGCTGGGATTATAGGCGTGAGCCACTGCGCCTGGCCAATTAACTACTTGTTGAGTGAATGAAGAGGTAGGAGCTGGGTTCTAAGTGGCCACTGGACTTGCTGATTAGAAGGCAGTGATGACATAAACCACAGCCACTTTCAGGACAGCAGCCTGCCTTCTCTCCTCCCACCCCTATCCTGTCCAACACCTAAGCACAGTAGTACCATTACGAGTCTGTCTCCTCAAAAGCAAGAATGTTCAGGTATACACACAAGTCTACCTTTGAACTATAGGGGAGAAGGCCTGACTTTAAGTCTCATTCACCCATTTTAACCAAAAACCTTTCATAGGGAGATGCTGTTACCCATTATGATAGGTACCTCTTTCCAGACTATGAAACAGCAAAAGAGCCTATAAAAGCTAAATAGAGGGCAGGTGCAGTGGCTCACGCCTGTAATCCCAGCACTCTGGGAGGCGGAGGCGGGTGCATCACCTGAGGTCAGGAGTTCGAGACCAGCCTGACCAACATGGTGAAATCCCGTCTCTATTAAAAATATAAAAATTAGCTGGGCATGGTGGCTCAGGCCTGTAGTCCCAGCTACTTGGGAGGCTGAGACACAAGAATTGCTTGAACCTAGTAGGCAGAAATTGCAGTGAGCTGAGATCAGACTACTGCACTACTACAGCCTGGGCAACAGTGTGAGACTTGGCCTCAAGAAAAGCGGGGAGGGGGGATAACTACACAGAACACAAGCAAGAAAGTACTTTTAGATTACAATTCGTCTTATGTGAATTATGGCAAATGAAATCACCCCACTGTTTATCTGTTTTATGAGCTTTCACATTTGCTTAAAATTAGCATACCTGATATCTTACAGTTCCCATCTCCACCAATTAGTGTTGGCAGATTTCCACTACATGTAGAAGTCAAAAGATCACACTGTAAAAATATCAGATATTGTGATGAAGAGCTCCAAACAGCGCCTTGCAGTTTCAGAGGTAGAAACCCACCCAGCCGGGTCAGATGCCTGGCCATCTCAGCCAGCCTCAGGTTCCTTCTCCCACCGATCAGGCCAAGCAGGACTTGTCAACACACATTCAAGTTCCCAGCACACAGTAAGTGGTCACTAATATAAACTCGAATTTTTCTGTCATATTACAAATGCAATATCCACCTCTCCTGTCCAGCTTTCCTCAGATCTTCAGGTTCTCTCTTCACGGAGGCAGTTAAGCTTCTACATCCTTCATGAAGTTTCTTTTACTTCTGGACAGAAGATACTTCCCTTTAGGCCTATCATCGCTAAACGCAACTTACTCAAGACTCTACAAAGTACACTTGCTACATGGTATTTATTCAATGACTGTATATTTAGTCACCACCTCAATCACTACTAAGCTCTCTTCATGTCTATCTGCACCACAGTTCCTCATCTTAGATTGTGATGTTAACTGGCAAGGGCTGGCTGTTGGCCAATTCACCATGACCAACATGGTGTCCGTGACAAAGAGCTCGAAGCAAATGTTGTGAAGAGGATAATTGAGGATGGAGATGAGGGTCCTGAGAAGGGCCCAGACTGGCTGCCCAACCCATGGACCTGAGACCTGAATAAGGCCTGGGAGCTGCTTTCCCCTCTGCCCAAAGGTCTTGTCTCGGGGCAATTCTAAGGCACAATGGTGAAGGACATGATTGGTCCCCCAAGCATGGTCCTCAGGTCTCATGGCAGCCACTCACCTGGGAACAATGCAACAAGCATTCCATTTAGAAGATCTTCCAGAACACACACAAGAAGCATTGTCTAATGAAAATGGAGACAAGGTCTTTCTTGGAAGAGAGTGCCCCAGAAGATACTCTCTGCCCCAAGACTAACCAGGTCCCTTTTAAGGTCCCTGAGAACAGCAGCCTGGGAGCAACCAAGACTTTCAAAGGCTGACAAGGCACAGTGGATTAATGGAACGAACAATACACGGAAAAAAACTTTGGCTTATAAAACCTCCAACCTGAGGCAGGGACAGTGTCTGCTGACATGCAGAAACATGATTGTAGCAGAGATGATGATACTGCTGATATCCCAAGCCTGCACTACCACCCTCTCCCCCAACCACACACACACACACACACACACACACACACACACACACCCATCTGCAGAATAAGTCAGAGGCTGACACCCAGACACACACAGAGACAGCATCTGCAGAATAAGTCAGAGGTTGACAACCAGACACACACACACACCCATCTGCAGAGTAAGTCAGAGGTTGACACCCAGAGCCTGACGTCAGGATAGGACTCTTGGCACTGCACTGAAACACTGTGATTAGTCCTGACTAGACAGCAAAAGTAACACCATCCTAAGCTTGAAATGAAGGGTCTGTCTTGTGAAGTTAGGCTGCACCCAAGACAGCCAGGTCTGGAAAGTCTTTCACTTCTCCTACTTCGCTGAAAGGCTGTCCACCTTGGTTGAATGTTAGCTTGTACCGTAAACGGATAGGTTCCTAGGACAGAAGAGACAGAAGATGTTAAATCAGTGGAGAGCAACCCAGAACAAGGGAAAATGTTAATTCATTTTAAGTGAGTGCTTCAAACAATTCTATGACACGGAATATTTGGGATACTCTCTGGAGCTAGAAACAAGGGGAAACAGGCACATATCCCGGGAACTCTTCAATACTTCTGCAGTCGTGAAATCCTGAAATGGGCTGCAATTCAGAGACTAGCTAAGAAAGACAGGCCTTGCCCTTTCAGAGGACTTCCAAGGATTAGCGAGAGTTCATGTGTCCTTCCCTGAGTCCCCTGCTATGACAATCCATCAGATCTTCCTTCAATGAGCCCTAAAGACAGACTCTAGTGAGGGATGTTCCACATACACCCGCTACCACCCAATCAAACCAGAAACTTTACTTTTTTGAGATGCAGTCTCGCTATGTGGCCAGGTCGGAGTGCAGTGGTGCGATCTTGGCTCACTGCAACCTCTGCCTTCCAGGTTCAAGCGATTCTCCTGCCTCAGCCTCCCAAGTAGCTAGGACTAGAGGCACCCACCACCACGCCCAACTGATTTTTGTATTTTTAGTAGAGACGGGGTTTCACCATGTTGGCCAGGCTGATCTCAAACTCCTGACCTCAAGTGATCCACCTGCCTCAGCCTCCCAAAGTGTTGGGATTACAGGGGTGAGCCACCATGCCTGGCAAACCAGAGACTTTAGAGCAAGGCCTCACTGTACCTCTCTCTACCCAAAGTTACTTCTCCTTACAGTTCAGAAGCCCCTATCTCCCTGCTACCAGACACTGGAACATACTTTGTGTGGATTGTCCAGCAGCAGCATCTGAGATATCACAGCTGGAGGCATCAAAGGACTGAATGCAGGAAGCTTAGAGCTGGAGGCCGGCTGCAGCTTCACTCTCATTGACTATTGGGGGAAGAAAACCAACATGTGACTCATTCCTACCCACAACTTTCAGGATGGAGATCAGATGAGTGGGAGCTGGACCTTCCCACCACCCTCCAAGAGGAAATGGCCCTCTCAGATGTGGTACCCCGAGGCGCCTGTGGGAGCCCAAGCAGACAGGCTTCTACTAACTGATAAAAGGATCAAGACATCTTTCGTTCCACACACACAGTGGATCTGGAGTTGTGTGGTCAATGGCTGGTATCTGAGAGGCAGCAACAATAGCCAGGGCACATCTTGGGTTGAATCCTAACTCTGCTTTTCATTAGCTCTGTGACCTTGAGCAAAATATTTAATTTCTGAGCCTTGGGTTGATAACTTATAAAACAGGTAGTAAGGAGTAGTACATTCCTCACAGGACTACCATGAGACTGCGTGTCTATTTTTGTCTGTCCTGAATCTTCTCCTTTCAGGATAGGCCCCTTCCTCTGTGATTGTGGTGTGGCTGGTAATCAGTAGGGCCCTACTTCCCTTGAAAAGGGGTGGATATGTTATCTCCCACTGGCCAAGTGCCTCATATCCCTGGACACAAGTTACTGGTCCAAGGTATGGAAGTATCACTAACAAGTCCAATCAGAACCCTTTACTGGGTAATCAATATACAGGCTTCAAACCAGGTGACAGTTTATGAGATAAAGAGGGTTAAGGACCATGCAACCCTGGAGCTGAGAAACTGCCAGAATGGTATCAAAGAAAAGCAGAGCCAAGAGATACAGATTCTTAAGGCACCATTTAAGAACCTATCTGGATCCACTCATATCTGAAGTTAGATATTCAGGAATCCCCAGTCAGGTAAGCCATTACATTCTCACTTTATCTTCAGTTAGTTTGAGTGAAGATTCTTTTCTTTACACCCGACAGATAATGTCCCAGCAAAGAACCTGGCACTCAGAAACGACAGCCATTACTGAGAAATCCACAAAGTTTGACTCACCTTTGGCACAGCCACTTGAAACATGATATCCCAGACAGGCTGGGGAGCCGTGCTCATCATGGTCAAGAGCAGCACTTGCACCTCTGGGTGGCCAGGGACTCCCGTCTGGGAGAAGTGGAGCAGAATTCTGAATCCGTTCCGGTCATACACAATGAGAGGCGGCAGGCTGCCTGGTGGAGAGGGCCCGAGCAGAAGGTTAACACCGCTACAAATGCCCCAGACAGCCAGAGTGGAAAGAGATGTACATGTTATCTCCAGATGCTGCTGCTTCTCCATTTAGAGCATGTGCAGGACTGAATTCTTTGCACTACCATAATTCAAGTCCTCCTGACTCTAGCTGGACTCTAGCTAGCCTCCCAAGTAGCTAGGACTAGGACCCTCCAAACTGACCTCTCCCCACCATCCAACCATCATTTACACACTACCAGTTATTAAAAATCACAATTTTGAGGAAGATATGATCATGATTAAAATCATGCATGAAGCCTATAGAAAACAGAATTATCAGTCAGGCATGGGGGCTCATTCCTGTAATCCTAGCACTTTGGGAGGCCGAGGCAGGTGGATCACTTGATGCTAAGAGTTCGAGTTTGAGACCAGCCTGGACAACATGGCAAAATCCCATCTCTACTAAAAATACAAAAATTAGACAGGCATGGCGGTGCACACCTATAATCTCAGCCACTTGGGAGGCTGAGGCACAAGAATCACTTGAACCCAGGAGGCAGAGGCTGCAGTGAGCCAAGACTGCACCACCGCTCTCCAGCCTGGGTGAAAAAGCGAGACTCTGTTTAAAAAAAACAAAACAAAACAAAAAACACCAACCAGGATTATCATAAAGAATGTAATAAATGCACTCTTAATTCTACCCAGAATAAGCAATTATTTTCTTCGTTCTCCTCTGTATGACTATAAACACATACACATGTGTACACATACACATATATCCTTATACTTAATTGTATAAAACTGTAGATACCAAATCACCTCAAATTAAAAGGTTTAGTTGAATTCCAATGGAAATTCTAAAGAAACTATTTTAACTTAACTAAGGAGTGATTCTAATGTTTATTTGAGGGGGAAAACTACATAAAAATGGGGAGCAGGGCTATAGCAAATACTCAGATAAAATTACAATTCAAGTAAAGTGGCATACAACAGAGCATGCAGAACAGATCTAAATGAGACTGTAACATAACATATCCTTCAAAAATCAGTGGCTGGCTCAATGAATGGCATTCAGATGACTGGTTAATCAGCTAGGAAAAAACCTTAATATCAAAACATACATTACTAAAATACAACTTAGAGCTGGGCATGGTGTCTCATGACTGTAATCCCAGCTTCTCAGGAGGTTGAGATGGAAAATTGCTTGAAGTCAGGAGTTCAAGACCAGCCTGGGCAACACAGAGAGCTCTGCCTTCCACCCCACACACACACACACAAATTTGCTGGGTGTGGTGGTGCATGCCTGTCATCCTAGCTCCCTAACCTGGGAGGCTGAGGCAGGAGGACTGCTTAAGCCCAAGAGGAATCTGAGGCTGCAGTGAGCCATGGCCATGCCACACCACACTCCAGCCTGGGCAATGGAGCGAGGCCCCATCTCTAAGAGAAAAAAATTTAAAAAATTAAATCAAAACATACTTCAACAATGAAACTACCAAAGATATAAGAGGCTGAAAATACCAGTGGGGTATGGTGGCAAGAGTATAGGGAAAAAAGCAACCTTTTCAGAAGGGAAATTGATAATGCAGATCAAAATTTTAAATGTCTACATGCAGCATTTCACTGGTATTACCATCTCCTAATAATTAGGATGGCAAAAAGGAAGGTATAAAGAAAGGCATCCAAAGATGTTGTTTGTAGCTTGTTTTTCCGTTTTTTTTTTTGAGACAGAATCTTGCTGTGTCACCCAGGCTAGAGTGCAGTGGTACAATCTCGGCTCACTAGGTTCAAGCAATTTTCCTGCCTCAGCTTCCCACGTAGCTGGGATTATAGGTGCCCACCACCATGCCTGGCTAATTATTTTTTTGTATTTTTAGTACAGACAGGGTTTCACCATGTTTGCCAGGCTGGTCTTGAACTCCTGACCTTGTGATCCGCCCACCTTGGTCTCCCAAAGTGCTGGGATTACAAGAATGAGCCACCACACCCAGCCTGTAGCCCTATTTTTAACAGCAAACCAGTAGAAACAACTTGACCTTAGCTTATTCAAACAAACAAATTGAATAAGCTGGGAGTAGTGGTGCACACCTGTAGTCTCAGCTACTTGGGAGGCAAAGGTGGGAGGATGGCTTGAGCCTGGAGGATGAAGACTGCAGTGACCTGAAATGGCGCCACTGCACTCCAGTCTGGGTGACAGAGCCAGATCTTGTCTCAAAAAAAATAAAAACAAAATAATACAAAAAGGACTGAATAAACAGATTACAGCACATCTATTTAATGGCTGTGTGTGTGTGTGTGTGTGTGTGTGTGTACTTTATATATATATATAAGTTCATTAGAAATCATGTTTTTAAAGAACTAAGGTCATAAAAATGGTACAGACTTATCATGTAACAGTAAATAGAATATAAAACAGTCTATACATACTGTGGTATCAAATTATTAAGAACTGTATTTACATATGTATACACATGATAAAACAAGAAGAAAATCTATCAAGATACAAACACACTTTCCATCTCTGGCTGATAATGGTACAGATGATTTCCTTTTTTTTTTGTTTTTTGTTTTTTTTTGAGACAGTCTAACTCTGTTGCTCAGGCTGGAGTACAGTGGTGCGATCTCAGCTCACTGCAACCTCTGCCTCCTGGGTTCAAACGATTTTCCTGCCTCGAGAAGCTAGGATTACAGGTAGCTGGGATTACAGGTATACATTAACACGTCTGGCTAATCTTTGTATTTTTAGGGTTTTACCATGTTAGCCAGGCTGGTCTTAAACTCCCAATCTCAAATGAGCTGCTTGCCTTGGCCTCCCCAAGTGCTGGGATTACAGGAGTGAGCCACCCCATCTGGCCCATTCTCTCTTTAATAAAACTCTACATTTTCAACATGTATTTTTGTTTTCAACTTTTTTATAGAAGTTTGCTTTGTATTAATTTCAGACTTATGAAAAGTGATAAAACAAATACAAAAATTCTTATATATCCTTCATCTAGCTTCCCCAGATGTTAACATTGTAACTACAGTACAATTATTGAACTCAGAAAATTAACACTGAACATGAATTATTTAAATCAAAAATTAATAAAGAAATGTGGAAAAAGCTCCCCTGTTCACGAACTCTGTTTATTTATAAATTTGTCTGCCTGGATTTCAGGGCCTTCTGCAATCTGACCTCACCACACTGAGCCAAAGGAAGACTCTCTGTATGCTAGAAGAAAGAGCCAGGCTCTAGAATAGATCTGAGTTGTGTCCTGCTCTGCATAATAGTGTAGAGAGAGACAGGAGGCCCTTCCACTCCCTTCCCTTTGTGACAGAGGTAATATCCACTTTTCTGCTTTAATAGGGATCCCTAGAGAAGGAGGATCACTAGCCAAATTCTTCCACTCATTTGAATTCCACTTCTCGCCAGTCATTTCAGTCTACATTAAACACTCCCTTTTTGAATCCCAAATCAATTAACATTATGTTCTTAAGTAAGCCTTTTCATTAAATGCTGTCTGCCCATATCCTTCTTGGCAGTGTCAATACTAAGGAACGCTATGAAAATTAGCTAAAAGACAAAGCAGCAAACTATTTTTTTGGAGATGGAGTCTCACTTTGTCGCCCAGGCTGGAGTGCAGTAGCATGATCTCAGCTCACTGCAACCTCCACCTCCTGGGTTCAGGCAATTCTCCTGCCTCAGCCTCCCAAGTAGCTGGAACTACAGGAGCACGCCACCACGTCTGGCTAATGTTTGTATTTTTTTGTAGAGACAGGGCTTCATTATGTTGGCTAGGCTGGTCTCAAACTCCTGGCCTCAAGTGATCAACCTGCCTCAGCCTCTCAATTTTTTCCACCCCCAAATAGAGACAGGGATCTTGCTATGTTGCCCAGGCTGGTCTCAAACTCCTGGCCTCAAGTGATCCTCCCACCTCAGCCTCCCAAAGTGCTGGAATTATAGGTGTGAGTCACCATACCTGGCCATAATCCCTTACTTTCTGCCTTCATGCAACATCTCTTCCATTTGTCAACCAAATTTAAGGGCCACCTCTACAAAGCTGGAGTGGAAAAAGCTGGGAGTCTAACAGATTCCCAGGAAAAAAAAAAGGTGGGGAGTAAAATTGTACTTACTGGGCTTAACAGACTCCAAAGGGACAAACACTTGAGCCAGAGGTGTATTCTGTGAAGATGGGGAAGGGGCCAACGGGCCAGCCTCCCAGGACCAACCTGGAGAGGACTTAGTACCTGGTGGCACGTCCTTGGGGATACTTTTCTGCGAAACATAATTCCTACAAAGAAATAAAAAATACCAAAGACTAGCAAAAATTGTAGCAATTTCTTGAAATTTGGGTTAGGCTTACTAAAAGAACAAGGAAAAAAATAACACACACACACACACACACAGTCAGATGTTATATGACTTTTGCCAAGTAATCAAACTCATACCTCAGCTTCCTCATCTGTTAAGTGGGAATAAAAGAAGTAATTTACCTCCTCACGTTATTATGAGAATCAAATGAGAAGATGTATGAAAAGCACTTAGAAGCCATGTGTAGTGGCTCACGCCTGTAATCCCAGCACTTTGGAAAGCTGAGGCAGGTGGATCATTTGAGGTCAGGAGTTTAAGACCAGCCTGGCCAACATGGTGAAACCCTGTCTCTTTACTAAAAGTACTAAAAAAAAAAAAAAAAAAAAAGAAAAAAGAAAATTATCTGGGTGGTTGTGGCGTACACCTGTAATCCCAACTACTCAGGAGGCTGAGGCAGGAGAATCACTTAAACCTGGGAGGTGGAGGTTGCAGTTAGCCGAAATTGTGCCACTACACTCTAGCCTGGGTAACAGAGCGAGACTCCATCTCAAAAAAAAAAAAAAAAAAAAAGAAAAGAAAGAAGAAAAGCACTTCAAGTGTCCACACATAATAAAAACTCAATAAACTAGAGCCTTTGTTATAAAGGTTGTTCATGCTGCACCTGTCGGGCAGTCTCTGACAACCTCAGTCAGGTTGTTTTCCAGGTGTGATCACAGAGGGACACGAACCAGGCAGATGATACACAAATTACGCCAGCTACTGTGCACTTCATGATTCTGTCCATTTGGGACACCAACTGAAAACATTTTTGAAAACTAAAGTCGTGAGAGAAGAAAAAACCCACCCTGTCCAAGTGGTTAAAAAAAAGACGACTGTAAGAAATGACCTCTGGGGGCCTGGCGCGGTGGCTCAAGCCTGTAATCCCAGCACTTTGGAAGGCTGAGGTGGGTGGATCACGAGAGATCGAGACTATCCTGGTCAACAAGGTGAAACCCCGTCTCTACTAAAAATACAAAAAATTAGCTGGGCATGGTGGCGCGTGCCTATAATCCCAGCTACTCGGGAGGCCGAGGCAGGAGAATTGCCTGAACCCAGGAGGCGGAGGTTGTGGTGAGCCGAGATCGCGCCATTGCACTCCAGCCTGGGTAACAAGAGTGAAACTCCGTCTAAAAAAAAAGAAATGACTTCTGGGTGGCAAATGGGAACAAACTCCTGGCACGTATCACTCCTGCCAGAGCCTGCACGTATCAGAAACACGGGCATTTCAGGCTGTCTGGGTGAAGATAAACTACTTTTCCAGAGGCAAAGGGACAGGATCTATGAAAATGTTTTTACATTCACACCGTAGAGAACCTCTCCCTTTAGGGATCTATACTATAAGGCACTCCCCCAAGTACCTCCAAACTGGAAATTATGTAAATGTCCACAAAAGGGAAATGATCAAATACATCCATGCAGTGAATTATAATGTAGCTGTTAAGACGACCAAGGCATATTTATAGAAACTGATATGGAAATGCATCACAGATATAATCTGATATGAAAAGGTCATGCTGGAGTGCAGTTTGTAAATTAAGATCCGGTTTGTGTAATAAGCCACAGGAATGTACCACTACATGTACAGAAAAAAAAACAAGGAACATTCAAGATTGTTTTTAGGGGGTGGTACTTTGCACTTTGTTGTGTATTTCTCTATGGATCAAATTTTGCTTAACTTCACTTACATGGTTATTAGAAGGGAAAAACAAAACAAACAGCAAAAACCTCATGTTCGGCTGGGCACGGTGGCTCACGCCTATAATCCCAGCACTTTGGGAGGCCAAGGCGGGTGGATCACGAGGTCAAGAGATCAAGACCATTCTGGTCAAAATGGTGAAACCCCGTCGCTACTAAAAATACAAAAATTAGCTGGGCATGGTGGTACGTGCCTATAGTCCCAGCTACTCAGGAGGCTCAGGCAGGAGAATTGCTTGAACCCAGAAGGCAGAGGTTGTGGTGAGCCGAGATCGTGCCATTGCACTCCAGTCTGGGTAATAACAGCAAAACTCCGTCTCAAAAAAAAAAAAAAAACCTCATGTTCTACTACTCCCAGCCCTTAAATAACCCCCTTTTCAGATGTCTTGGCCAAAGCAGGTATTTTCCCAATACTTAGGAAAGGGAGTAAAATGAGAAAAGGGAAGCAGCACATTAAACTTTTTTTGAGGCCAGGCACAGTGGCTCACGCCTGCAATACCAGCACTTTGGGAGGTTGAGGCAAGTGGATCATGAGGTCAGGAGATCAAGACCATCCTGGCCAACATGGTGAAACCCCACCTCTATAAAAAATACAAAAATTCACAAGGCATGGTAGCTTATGCCTGTAGTCCCAGCTACTCAGGAGGCTGAGGCAGGAGAATCACTTGAACCCACAAGGCGGAAGCTGCAGTGAACCGAGATTGCGCCACAGTGCTCCAGCCTGGGCAACAGAGCAAGACCCTATCTCAAAAAAAGTTTTGTGTTTTTTTAAGACAGCCTAGACAGCAGAAAAAAGTTTTGTTTTTTTTTTTCACTCTGCTGTCCAGGCTAGAATGCAGTGGCATGGTAATGGCTCACTGTAGCCATTTCCAGGCTCAAGTAATCCTCCCACCTCGGCCTCCCGAGCAGCTGGGACTACAGGCATAAGCTACCACGCCTTGCTAGCTTTTGTATTTTTTGTAGATATGGGGTTTTGCACCCAGGTTGGTCTTGAACTCCTGGGCTCAAGCAAACCACCTGCCTTGGCCTCCCAAAGTTCTGCGATGACAGGTATGATATGGCTAGCTACAGATCTTACCTTGAATTGTAGCACCCATAATTCCCACGTTGTGGACCCAGTGGGAGATAACTGAATCATGGAGCCAGTTTCTCCCATACTGTTTTCATGGCAGTGAGTAAGTTTCATGGGATCTGATGGCTTTATAAGGGGAAACTCTTTTTCGTTCGGCTCTCATTCGCTCTTGTCTGCTGCCACATAAGACATGCCTTTAGGCCAGGCATGGTGGCTCACACCTTTAATCCTAGCACTTTGGGAGGCCGCGGTGGGCAGATCACAAGGTCAGGGGATGAAAACCAGCCTGGCTAACAGTAAAACCCCGTCTCTAGTAAAAGAAAATACAAAAGTTAACTGGGCTTGGTGGCATTACACCTGTAATCCCAGCAACTCAAGAGGCTGAGACAGAATTGCTTGAACCCAGGGGGTGGAGGTTGCAGTGAGTCAAGATCGTGCCACTGCACTCTAGCCTGGGTGACAGAGAGAGAGTCTCAAAAAAAAAAAAAGAAAAGAAAGATGTTTCTCCAGGGCGAGAGGTCTCAGCTGTCTTAGAGCACCATTCTCTGGCCCTTGTCCCATGAGAAGGAACTGCACTCAGGAGCCACACTCTCCCACTCCCCTTGCCTATAAGACTCACAGAGGGCCCAGAGCCGGCTGTGGTGAGAGGAGGTCCAGCAAATTCCTGTCTGCAGAAGGGTTCTGAATGCCACTGCCTGGCAGCGTGCTGGCGGAGGGATTCCTCTTTTCCTCATAGCAATTCTGATCAGCAACCTGTCAAACCAGGAATGGCTAAAATAAGGCCAGGGTATAAATGACCATCAGCCACAGTAAAACCATCGCACAGTTCTCCTGAGCCCACCCAAGGTGCTGTGGCCCAGGCTGGTGACATCTCCTAGGGCAAAAGGGGAAAGAAAGGGCAAGATCACATACAGCTCCTGGGCAGACCTTCAGGAAGCAGGAGCCTGGTGCAACCTGTCTCCCCTGGGGTACCAGCCAGAAAGTATGGATGAGAAAGAGGCTTTGGGCCTCCAAGGTCATGTTCTCACTGGAACAGTGCAGGAGCACCTCTCTGCCCACCAGGCAGTGCTACCTCACAAGGGCAGGTTTAAGACCTTCCCCTTCTCTCTCTGGGCCCTGGGAAGGGGGTCCTTACCGTGCCTGTAACAGGAGCATCACTGATTCCTGTAAGAAAGGAGCAGAGTGAGATGCACAACAGTAAATCCACCTGCTTCCATATGGAGCACGATACCACACCCACCCTTTCTAGAATATCCAGAAAGTCTAGACAAATAAGCAACTTACTGAAGGTCATGTGATTCATCAATGGCAAATCTGTGACTAATATGCAAGGAGGACCCTCTGAACTGCCCAGAACACGTGATTCCCTTGGCAGCAGGCATGTGCTCCCTGAGGGAACCAGCTCACTCCCCCCTATCCAGAACCACCTGATTCCCTCGGCAGCAGACATGTGCTCTCTGAGGGAACCAGCTCACTCCCCCCTATCCAGAACCACCTGATTCCCTCAGCAGCAGACATGTGCTCTCTGAGGGAACCAGCTCACTCCCCTACTCACAACCATCCTGACTTCCACAGCAGCAAACACGTGCTCCCCTGGGAGACCAGCTCACTCTCCTACTCACAACCATCCTGACTTCCACAGCAGCAAACACGTGCTCCCCTGGGAGTCCAGCTCACTCCCCTACTCACAACCATCCCGACTTCCACAGCAGCAAACACGTGCTCCCCCGGGAGACCAGCTCACTCTCCTACTCACAACCACCTTCAGTCCCTCGCAGCAGACACGTGCTCCCCAACAGCTCACTCCACTACTCACAACCACCTTCAGTCCCTCGCAGCAGACACGTGCTCCCCAACAGCTCACTCCACTACTCACAACCACCTTCAGTCCCTCGCAGCAGACACGTGCTCCCCAACAGCTCACTCCACTACTCACAACCACCTTCAGTCCCTCGCAGCAGACACGTGCTCCCCAACAGCTCACTCCACTACTCACAACCACCCTCATTCCCTCGCAGCAGACACGTGCTCCCCAACAGCTCACTCTCCTACTCACAACCACCTTCAGTCCCTCGCAGCAGACACGTGCTCCCCAACAGCTCACTCCACTACTCACAACCACCCTCATTCCCTCGCAGCAGACACGTGCTCCCCAACAGCTCACTCCACTACTCACAACCACCCTCATTCCCTCGCAGCAGACACGTGCTCCCCAACAGCTCACTCCACTACTCACAACCACCTTCAGTCCCTCGCAGCAGACACGTGCTCCCCAACAGCTCACTCTCCTACTCACAACCACCTTCAGTCCCTCGCAGCAGACAGGTGCTCCCCAACAGCTCACTCCACTACTCACAACCACCTTCAGTCCCTCGCAGCAGACACGTGCTCCCCAACAGCTCACTCTTCTACTCACAACCATCCTGACTTCCACAGCAGCAGGCATGTGATCCCCTGGGAGACCAGCTCACTCCCCTACTCACAACCATCCCGACTTCCACAGCAGCAAACACGTGCTCCCCCGGGAGACCAGCTCACTCTCCTACTCACAACCACCTTCAGTCCCTCGCAGCAGACACGTGCTCCCCAACAGCTCACTCCACTACTCACAACCACCTTCAGTCCCTCGCAGCAGACACGTGCTCCCCAACAGCTCACTCCACTACTCACAACCACCTTCAGTCCCTCGCAGCAGACACGTGCTCCCCAACAGCTCACTCCACTACTCACAACCACCCTCATTCCCTCAGCAGCAGGCATGTGCTCCTGAGGAGACTCACTCACTCCCCTACTCACACCCATCCTTATTCCTTCAGCAGCAGGCATGTGCTCCCCGAGGGAACCAGCTCACTCCCCTATTCACACCCATCCTGTGCCTGCCCCCACAAGCGCCCGCCCTCACCCAAGGCTGCCAGGTCCTGATGAAGCAAAGATGGCGCCACAGTCCCCGCCTGTGCAGGTCCATTGTCCACCTCCAAGTCAATCAAGGGGCAGGTCTTCATGCAGCCTGCTGGATTCTGAAAGACTAGAAAGCCCAGGGTTAGGAAGATAAGTCAGTTGGACAGGAGAGCAAAGTCTCCACCTGAATCCCATCAGCTTCCCTCAGGCTGCCTACTCATCAAATGGTAATGCCCTCCCTGCCCCTCGAAGAACCGTCCACTCAGCTGAATGTCTTGATACACCAGCTCAGCTGGCACCTGAGACAAGAGGGACACAAGGGATTGCAGGTCTTCCTGCAAAGGTCCCATCACCTGGAAGGAGAGCAGACTTGGCCTTCTCCAGCTCAGGCCATTTCAAGGCTTCTGACCACAACTGAATCAGAATCACCTGTAGCGCTTGAAAGACACAGATCTCCAGGCCCAGCTCCAAGCACTCTTGATTCAGAAGATCCAAGCCAGGGACCTAAGCAGTGACATTTCAACCAGTGTTCTAGGTGATTATGATACAGCTGGCCTGGCACTAGGAACCACTGAGGAAGACCATTTCTTTTGTCTCCAGCTCCTGTATGCAACCACTTATGAGAATTCAAACCCAGGCATAGGTTAGATATCTGTTTCGGTGTGTAGTCAAAGCTGGGGTCCAGCATGGCAGCCAGCTTGTGACGGTTCCTGTGGCTGAGCATGGTGACATGAAACCCACTTACACAGGAATGGGACCAAAAGGCAAGTTATCTTATTTCTATTCCTTAACCCAGAATATGCATAGGACCCACTTCTTTTCTGGGAATTGCAGGCTGCCCCAATGCAGAAGGCAAGGAGAAGCTTCCAAACATACCTCTAGAAACAGGGATGTCTCCCATTGAGCTAGTCACTGTGTTTCCAAAGGTGACCCGGCCCTCCATCACCTGTTTGTACAGCAGAACTCCTTGAGTGAGGAGGTCATTTGCCTGGAGAATTTCCGCTGAAGAATGAGAGAAGAATCAGAAACCCCTGATTTGGTGACCAACAATCTCAGTCCCGATCTTTTTTTTTTTTTTGAGACAGAGTCTTGCTTTGTCACCCAGGCTGGAATGCAGTGGCACGATTTCAGCTCATTGCAACCTCCACTTCCTGGATTCAAGCGATTCTCCCGCCTCAGCCTCCCAAGTAGCTGGGACTACAGGCACATGCAACCATGCCTGGCCAATATTTTGTATTTTTAGTAGAGACAGGGTTTCACCAAATTAGCCAGGTTGTTGTCAATCTCTTGACCTTGTGATCTATCCGCCTTGGCCTTACAAAGTGCTGGGATTACAGGTGTGAGCCACTGTGCCCAGCCAATCTTAGTCCTTCCTAAGCTTTTCCATAAAACAGCCTTCCTATGGCTCAACTATGTTCAGTTTATCCACACCTCCTGCCCCCAGATCATGTCATCGGACCCTATCAGGTCCAGTCACTTAACCTCTGAGTCCTAACGTTAGTTCTCAATCCAAAAGAAAGCAAATCTAGGGCTGGGCTCAGTGGCTCAAGCCTGTAATCCCAGCACTTTGGGAGGCCGAGGTGGGTGGATGACGAGGTCAAGAGATTGAGACCAACCTGGTCAACATGGTGAAACCCCATCTCTACTAAAAATACAAAAAACTAGCTGGGCATGGTGGTGCGTGTCTGTAATCCCAGCTACTCAGGAGGCTGAGGCAGGAGAATTGCCTGAACCCAGGAGGTGGAGGTTGAGGTGAGCTGAGATCGCGCCATTGCACTCCAGCCTGGGTAACAAGAGCGAAACTCCGTCTCAAAAAAAAAAAAAAAGAAAAAAGAAAAAAAGAAAGCAAATCTATTCACCTTCCACATTTGTACTGTCCAGAGTAATGGCCAGGAGTAAGCACTTAAATGAAGGCAAACTTTTAACTTTAACTCAGAACCTGAAGCTGTTTTGTCAATGTGGATACAAATACTAAAAGGATCCCTTAGTATTTAATGCAGTTAAAGTGGGTTTTGTTTTTTTTTTTTAAGACAGAGCAGTTGGGACTAGAGGTGCATGCCACCACAGCGAGATAACCATGGGCCTCCTGAACACCATCTACGTTCTGGACTGCCATGGCCCACCAACCCTCAAGCTCTTGATCCACTGGCTATAAAAAGAAATATCAGCCAGGGGTGGTGGCTCACGCCTGTAATCCCAGCACTTTGGAAGGCTGAGGCGGGCAGATCACCTGAGGTCAGGAGTTCGAGACAAGCCTGGCCAACATGGTGAAACACAATCTCTACTAAAAATATAAAAAATTAGCTGGGCATGGTGGCGGGCACCTGTAATCCCAGCTACTTGGGAGACTGAGGTGGGAGAACTGCTTGAACTCACAAGATGGAGGTTGCAGCGAGCCGAGATTGTACCATTTCACTCCAGCCTGGGCAACAAGAGCGAAACTCTCTCTCAAAAAAAAAAGAAGTATCAGAAATAGAAACATTAACAGCATCGAGGGGGATGTCATGAGCAAAACTGAGACCGATAGAACTCTCAATTCAGAGGCATATTTTTCACACAAGTAAAAAAGCAGTGTGTGGTGTGGTCTGTAATCCCAGCACTTTTAGAGGCCAAGCAGGCAATCACTTGAGCCCACGAGTTTGAGACCAGCTTGGGCAACATGGCAAAAGTCTGTCTCTACTAAAAATACAAAAATAGCCGGGTGCGGTGGCTCACGCCTGTAATCCCAGCACTTTGGGAGGCTGAGGCGGGTGGATCACGAGGTCAAGAGATCGAGACCATCCTGGTCAACATGGTAAAACCCAGTCTCTACTAAAAATACAAAAAGTTAGCTGGGCATGGTGGCACGTGCCTGTAATCCCAGTTACTCAGGAGGCTGAGGCAGGAGAATTGCTTGAACCCAGGAGGCGGAGGTTACGGTGAGCCAAGATCGTGCCCTTGCACTACAGTCTGGGTAACAACAGCGAAACTCCGTCTCAAAAAAAAAAAAAAATACATAGAATTTATTCTGCTACTTCCCCTCTCATGTTTCGGTATTTTCCATAATAGAGAGTTAAAATAACTTTTTAATACTTGTGGACAATTCTCCACCATCCCTACGGATGACCCTTCCATTTCCCATCAGCCTGACTCACTCAGGTAACCCACCTGGCCCCTGAAGGTACAAAAGCTGGTGATCCCTTTGAGACACCACCCCAGCTGTTTCTGTGGCCTGCGATTGGTCAGCTTTTCCTGAAGCCTCCAGTGGGAACTTTCTTCTACCTCTCACACCCCAATCTCCATGGTCAATTTCCACCCCTCTTCAGGCTTTAGACCTGCTGCTGCTTTTTGTGTTTTTTTTTTTTTGAGATGGAGCTTTGCTCTGTCACTCAGGCTGGAGTGCTAGGGAGTGATCTTGGCTCATTGCGACCTCTGCCTCCTGGGTTCAAGTGATGATTCTCTTGCCTCAGCCTCTCACATAGCTGGGATTAGTGGCACACAACACCACACCCAGCTAATTTTTGTATTTTTAGTAGAGGCGGGGTTTCATCATGTCAGTCAGCTGGTCTCGAACTCCTAAACTCAGGTGATCCACCCACCCTGGGCTCCTAAAGTGCTGGGATTACAGGCATGAGCCACCATATCCAGCCTTTGCTGCTGATTTTTTTTTTTTTAATTATTTATTTTGACACAGAGTCTCACTCTGTCGCCCAGGCTAGAGTGCAGTGGCACCTCGGCTCACCGCAACCTCTGTCTCCTGGAATCAAGCAATTCTCCTTCCTCAGCCTCCATAGTAGCTGGTATTACAGGAGCCCACCATTGCACCTGGCTAATTTTTGTATTTTTGGTAGACTAAGTTTCACCATGTTGATCCAGCTGGTCTTGAAATTCTGACCTCATGATCTGCCGGCCTTGGCCTCCCAAAGTGCTGGGATTACAGGCATGAGCCACTGTGCCTGGCCTTCTGCTGATTTCTTACTGAAGCCTGGATCCTGCTGGACGTCAGCTGTGAAGCAACTCAGGCCACACCATCCTGGCTCAGCAGCATGACAGCAGGGACTGAGTCTGTCTTGCACCTGGGCTGCTAGTTATACCCAGGAAAAGAAAACTTACCAAGTGCATCATCATCATCAGTGGTGTCACTTGCCAGCCGGAACAGGGTGGGCCTCAGCTTTTCACACCTCTCATATACAACCTGGAAGAGCAGAGCTCGGTTCTTGACATACACCCAGGCATCCCACCATGCCCCACTCCAGGGCCCCAGGCACCTCTGATCAAGTAGGCGGCAGAGTCTGGGGCTTCAGGAGGCCTCCTGTTGGTCCTGACTTCGAGACTACAGGTTTGAAGTAACATAGCAGAGTTTTAGAAAAAGTTTGGGCTACAAGTGTATGATTTTTGAAAATAAAAGAATCTGACCAGGCACGGTGGCTCACATCTGTAATCCCAGCACTTTGGGAGGCCAAGGCAGGCAGATCACCTGAGGTCAGGAGTTCAAGACCAGCCTGGCTAACATGGTGAAACCCTGTCTCTACTAAAAATACAAAAATTATCTGGGAGTGCTGGCATGCACCTATAATCCCAGCTACTCATAGGCTGAGGCAGGAGAATCACTTGAACCTGGGAGACTGCACTCTGGCCTGGATGACAGAACAAGACTGTTGGGGGTCCAAAGTGGCTCCCGCCGGAGCTCATAGCGCTCATGAAGGTGAGGTCATCAGTTCAAGGCTAACCTGAGCAACCTCATAAGCTCAAACTGATTGGCAAAAAAAAAAAAAAAAAAAAAAAAAAAAAAGAACAAGACTGTTTCAAAAAAAAAAAGAAAACCTAAAACCTTATTTGCCACATTTTCCAAAGTCAGCTTCCTCCCATGTACAGGTTACACGTATTGTTTTCTATGGCATCTCTCCTGTTTCTTAGCTGGTTGTCACCCCAGGTTGGGGAGAATTGGTGTTGTCTAAAAGCCCAACATGCTGACCTTCTAGAGGGACTGTGGTACAACCACTGCATGGGAGGTGGGCTTTGGGATCCCTTCCTGGCCTGAGCCCAGCAACTCTTCTGAGCACTGCCCCCTCCGCCCACAGAGGAAGGTCAGCAAGATTTTCACCCTAACTCTGTCCAATTCCAATCATAGCTGACTGTGCCAGAGACAGATACATGTGCCAAACTGGCCAGGGATTTTTCTCTTAGGAACTTGGAAAGACAGTAGTTTATTTCTGCTAATTTTGTGAAGTGGAAGGATAAGTAAATAAAGGAGTTGTGTAAGGGCTGGCTCTCCTTGCAGAGAAACATAAAAAGAAACCTAAAAAACTGGAATGCATGGAGAGATGGCTGAAACAGATCTGCAGAAGGAGGTGGGGAATAGAGCTCCAAGGGAGACCAGGAGCATGGCTGCCTTGGACCTGGCACAAATAGGCTGTGGTTTCTCAGATATGACAATAAAAGCACCAGCAAGACATTTAAATAAAAGAAGAAGAAGGCCAGTAGCGGCGGTAATTTGGGAGGCCAAGGCAGGTGGATCACCTGAAGTCAGGAGTCTGAGACCAGCCTGGCCAACATGGTAAAACCCTGTCTCTACTAAAAATACAAAAAAAAAAAAATTAGCCGGGCATGGTGACAGGCACCTGTAATCCCAGCTACTTGGGAGGCTGAGCCAGGAGAATCTCTTAAACCTGGGAGGCAGAGACTACAGTGAGCCAAGATCATGCCATTGCACTCCAGCCTGGGCAACAGAGTGAGACCCTGTCTCAAAAAACAAAACAAACTTTACCGCTTCAAAACATGCTATCAAAATAGTGAAAAGACAGCCCAAAGAATGGGAGAAAACTGTCTGATAAGGAACTTGTATCCAGAATATATAAAAATCACTTGTAACTCAAAATAAAAAGACAACCCAAAAGATGGGCAACGGGTTTGCACAGACAGGTCTTCTAAGGCTGCCAATAAGCATAGGAAGTAAGTCATCAAGAAACAGAAAGTTACAATGAGACACACTTCACACCTTCCAGGAGGGCTCCAATCAAAAAGACAACAGCAAATGCTGGCAGGAGGCAGAGAACTAGAAATGATACATTGTGGCTAGGAATGTAAAATGGCACAGCCACTTCGGAAAACAGTTAGGCAGTTCTTCAAAATGTTAAATACGGAGTTGCCCCACGATCCAGCAATTCCATTTCTAGGTATGTACCCAAGAGAACTTAAAACTTAGGTTCACACAAAAACTTGGACAAAGTTCAACGTCATTATTCCTAATGAATAATTCAAAGGCATTATTTGTAATAGTCAAAAAGCAGGAACAACCCAAATGCCCATTAGCTAATAAATGGAGAAACACGTGGCACAGCCATGAAAAGGAATGGAGCAGTGACGCATGCTACCAGACAGATGCACCTGCAAACATTAGGCTACATAACAGAAGTCAGACACGGAAGACCACGTATAGTGTAACTGCACTTGGACGAAGCACCCAAATAGGCAAATCCAGAGAGACAGAAAGTAGATTTGTGGTTGCCAGGGACTAGGGGAAAGGGTAGTTCGGGAAAGGGGGAATGACTGTTAATGGGTACAAGATTCTTTTTAGGGGTGATTAAGATATTCTGTAACTAGGTAGGTGTGATGGCTGCTTTTATGATATTTTAATTATCTCAGTAAGAATGCCATCTGAAAACTAAGATCTCAAGATGCAGAGGAGCTAGAACTCTCATATGCTGCTGTTAGGATTATAAATGGTGCATAAGCTGGAAGATAGCTGAGCCACTTTGTTTCCTAACAAGTTAAATACATACTTAACATACGACCTAGTAATCCCAGACATTTACCCACAAGAAATGAAAATATATGTTCACACAAAATCCTGTACACAACTGTTTCTAGCTGCGTGATTCATAACCACCCAAAGCTGGAAATAGGCCAAGGTCCATCAATAGGGACACACCGTGGTACATCCAGGTGACGGAACAGTACCCAGCAATAAGAAAAAACAAACTACTACTATACACAGCAATGTGAATGGCTCTCCAGTGAGACTGAGAAACCAGACAAAAATAAAGAGGGTTATGTACTGCATCATTCCATTTATACAAGAGTCTGGGAGTTGTCAGCCAATCAGAACAGAGAGCAGATTAGCAGCTGCCTGGGGCTTGGGAAGCAAGGGAGAGAGGAAGGGAGGACAAAGCAGCATAAGGACATTTTGGGAGGCATCAGGTATGTTTACCATCTTCACTCTGAGATGGTTTCAAGGATGCATACAGGTGAAGGCATTTCAAACCTACTTTCGTGAACAGGTGCAGCCCCCTGTGTTACACCTGAAGATTACCTGCAAGGCCTCCTGGTCAGGCGGGGCCTGCCCTGGCCTGTGGTACATGCTCAGCATCTCCTGCAGTACCTTCACATGGCTTCGCACTTCCTCCACTGCACTGACCCTCTTGGACACCTTCTCCGATTTTTCTTGCTCCTTTTGGGAAGAAGAGGAGGATGGGAGTGAGGGAGCAGAAACCCTGGCAGAAGCCTCAACAAGAGATGGGAAAGGGTCACTATTGAGAGAGCTCACTCAGGGAAACCACCAAGACGTTAAGTACATGGGAGTGCTCACACAGTGGGTGAAAAAAATACTCAAAAGCCCAGAATTCCTGGGGAAGAATATGCACTTTGAGGCCTGATGACCATGACCTCCTTCTTTGTGCCATCAGCCTCAAGCCTTCTGAAAAGGAGATTTCTAAACCTGGACTTTGTCTGTACCAATACCTGTTGCTGGGACTGAAGCTGTTGTCTAGGAAATGCTTTAAGCAGCAGGGACAAAGGCAGCTGAGAAATGCGGCAGTGGGATTTCTGCTTTTTTTTTTTTTTTTTGAGACGGAGTTTCGCTCTCGTTACCCAGGCTGGAGTGCAATGGCGCAATCTCGGCTCACCGCAATCTCTGCCTCCTGGGTTCAAGCAATTCTCCTGCCTCAGCCTCCCGAGTAGCTGGGATTACAGGCACGTGCCACCATGCCCAGCTATTTTTTGTATTTTTAGTAGAGATGGGGTTTCACCATGTTGACCAGGATGGTCTCGATCTCTTGACCTCGTGATCCACCCGCCTCGGCCTCCCAAAGTGCTGGGATTACAGGCGTGAGCCACTGCACCCGGCCCTGGGATTTCTGCTTCTAATCACCACCTTGCTGCTCTCAAGGGAGCCTATGGCTTTTCCCCAGGGTTCAGGGCTCTGTAGGAGCCACTCTTTCTCCCAGGCAACTCTTCCTCCACCCCTCAAAGATAGGTTCATACACACTGTCCTTTAGCCTCTGTCAAATGCTGCTTCTACTGAACCAGCTGGAAGAATGCCTACCTCCTTGACCAAATTCTTGATCAACCGGTTTGCAGCCTGAAGGTCCTCGGGGTGGTTGCTTTTCAGAAGCCTTGTCAGAAGCTGGAGAGAGTAAACAGGAAGAGTAGATGAGACCACAACTCCCTCAGGCCCAGAGCAGACGCAGCAGCAATAGAAAAGTTAACACTAACAACAAAGCACGCAATTTACACACACTGTCTCACCGAATGGTCCCAAGGACACTATGATGCAGGCACTCTGACTGTCCCAATACGCCACTGGTTTTCAATGGAGTAGGGAGCTGGGGGGATTACTTCTCCCAGGGGACATCTGGACAAGTCTGGATAAATTTGGTTGTCACAGCTGGAGAGGGGGTGCTACTGCCAGCTGGTGGGTAGAGTCAAGAATGCTGTGTACATCCTACAGTGCACAAGACGATCCCTAATAACAGAGAATTCTCTGGCCCAAAAGGGCACTAGGTCTGCAGTTGCCCTGGACCACGTACTCTAAGATGGGATAGACCCTGGTGATCTTGTTCATCCCTCATTTCCAACGCCTAGCAGGATGCCTGGCACACAGAAGTCACTCAATCTTCGTGGGATAGATGGCAGGAAAAGTGGGGATAATGAGGGCTGGTGATACAGGATTCTTTCTCAGAAGTCACACCACACCTCCTCCCTAGCTCCTCCTACCCTCTGCACACCTAAGGCACCAAGTAAGAGAGCCAGGGAGAAAAGCAGCCCAGAGCCTAGACTAGCCTTGCTCATTCCAACAACAGGGATCTGATGGCCAGAGTTATTTAGGCCGACGAAGTGGGTACAGAGAGAGGGTACAGTTGGCAGGCAGAGCATACCATGCAAAAATTAGTATGCAGTGCGTATCCTTCCGAAGCTCCATGAACTAGACCTTGCAACTGACCAAGAAGCAAATGCCAAAAGCACTGCCAGCACTAGGGTTCCCTACTCACAGGTACCACAGAGTTATCCCTGGGTCTTGGCCACCTTCCCTTCCTCTTCTTGTCCCTCTAGATACTGATGTGCAAGGGACAACGATTTTGGGAGTTCATAGAGGATGGAAATGGTTAGGGTCGGGCTCCCTGGCACTGAGGCAGAGCTGAACCAACACAGAGCAGCCAGTCTTCCCACCATTTTTTCTCCAACACCACACCCACACAGGACATGACCCATCACCCACACTCCCCATGGGCTATCCTTTTGCACCTTTTTTCCCCAAGAAAGGCTCTGCAGATAAGGGAGAGGACACAAAGAACCCAGCACCTTATTGGTCGACTTATCCGTGAAGAAAGCACCCAAACCTTCTGCTACCTCACTCTTAAGGGCCTGTCTGGAGAGGAGAACCCACGTAACCTTCCCCCCTCCATACTCTGATTCAAGCATCCACGGGCATTTAGTGCACAGTCCCTAAGAGAAAAGGTCTCATCAGACACCACATAGGTCAGGTTCTTTACCTTGGACTTTTCTTCATCAGCATCAAAGATGGAGCTCTTGGGCCAGGGAGATGGTGGGGGTAAGATTTTATCCACTGGCAGTTTAGGGTCTTGTTTTATAATTCCTAAAAATGCAATTTACAAAGTTAAGACAGTGATATGGGGATCCAGTAACTTCAGTCAGAATCCAGTATAAAGTCCGGAAATGCCGGTTCTGATACCATGCTAGGGAAGCACAGTCAACAGCCTTCAAAGACAACACCCAGTGCATGAATCAAGTTTTGCATTATCTCTTAGGAGAATCCAAGGGACCACCACAGTGGCTGGGACATCAGAGCCAACTACATCAGAGAAGAGCCAGTCCTGAAGGTCTGCAGTCTGTAGGCCTTATGCGATAAAAACATGGATCAGTTTTTCCAGCTACATAACCACCCACGGATCAAAAGTTTCTGGAGGGTCCCTGACAAAGCTCCTAAAAACGCTGAGTGCATGTGAAAGGGAACAACAGTACATCCTGAACCTGGGTTCCTTCTTTTAAGAGACCAGTATAAAAAGGAATTCAGATTTCCATCTTCCAAACAGGACACACAAAGGTGGGAACTATCACCCCCACCGTGACAAAAATAAAACACTGGAAAATGTGCAAATTTGCAAGATTTTTGTTGTCTTTGAGACAGATTCTTGCTCTGTCTCCCAGGCTAGAGGGCAGTGGTGTGATCACAGATCGCTGCAGCCTCAAACTCCTGGCTCAAGCAATGCTTCCACCTTGACCCCCAAGTAGCTGGGACTACAGGTGGGTACCACCACACCCACCTAATTTTTTAAAAATTGTTTTTGTAGAGATGGGGTCTTGCTATGTTGCCCAGGCTGGTCTCAAACTCCTGGCCTCAAGTGATTCTCCCACCTCAGACTCCTGAAGTGCTGGGATCACGGGCATGAGCCACCATGCCGAGCCTACAAATTCCTTGAACCCATCAGAGAGCTCAGATCACAGTGTGACAACCAAGTAACCTGAAATCTAAGGAAAAAAACAACCTCCAAGGACTGATAAGAGGCAATACCAACAGTAACTAAGCTAGAATTATGTAAAAATTGTTTATAGGCCAGTATAGTTACCAAGAGAATAAAGAATTTCTGGAGGCTGCATTAAAAAGCAAATAACTCTTTTCCAGAGGCTCACAAACACAGTGGGAAGGCCTAAAGGCAGGGTTAGGGGGAGAAGAGTAAGAAACCCTGCAGCTCTGAGGGCACTGGTGGAAGCCCACTGCAACTAGAGAAAAAATAGGGGAGAAAAGATAAACCCTAGAACCATTGGGAGAGGAGCAGGAATTATGTCCTGGGTCTGGATCTGCACCGGGGTGAGGGGGGGATCACAAACAGATCCTACTAAGACCCAGGATGTAGTGCCTGCCTACCAACGAGGCTGAATTGGAACAGAGACTGGCCCTGCCCACCACCCTATCCCTCTGAATGACAAGGGACAGCTGTCTACTGCTACGAGGGGCAAGAACAAGGAGAAAGACCCTCTCTGAGGTACAGAGGAAAGTGAACACTTATAGCTGAGAGAACAGATACTGAAGAAAATCAACGGACTAGCCCCCAGCCTAACACAGGGTAACACTAGAGGAATCTCCAGTCTCATAATAACTAAAGCAGACTGGGCTCGGTGGCTCACACCTGTAATCCCAGCACTTTAGGAGGCCGAGGCGGGTGGATCACGAGGTTAAGAGATCGAGACCATCCTGGTCAACATGGTGAAACCCCATCTCTACTAAAAAAAAAAAATACAAAAAATTTAGCTGGGCATGGTGGTGCGTGCCTGTAATCCCAGCTACTCAGGAGGCTGAGGCAGGAGAATTGCCTGAACCCAGGAGGCGGAGGTTGCGGTGAGCCGAGATCACGCCATTGCACTCCAGCCTGAGTAACAAGAGCAAAACTCCGTCTCAAAAAAATAAATTAATTAATTAATAAATTAAATAAATAAAATTTTTAAAAAGGTTAGTTTTTAAGCAAACAAGAATTTTAAAGATAAATAAGGGCTTTAGTGACATAGGTAGCTTATAGTTTGACTTTTCTCATGCGGTTATTTCCTGATTTCCAGGCAACAGGGAAAAGCAAGCCCTACACCATCTTTCAAGGTCTGTACTGTGGCTTTTAAAGATAAGTAGATACAAGATTTATTGTGTAAAAAATAAAAAATAAAAACTCTACCTCAGTATGGTCTTACACAAGAAGTCCAGCTTTCAACAAAAAATGATAAGGCAGACAAAAAAACGAGAGGACGCAGTAGCACAAGTCAGACCTTGTTTCTTCAGCATCTGATAGGCGTCTCGGATCTTGACGTCTTCAGGAAACCATACTGTCCAACTAAAGAGTATTTCAATGACTCTTCCTTTTACTTTTTCTGTGGCCCAGGACCCCAGGTACTGAAATAAAAAGGAAAGAGAATTCTAGAGCTCGAAGGGACTTGGGAGACCAACACTTTAACTAAAGAGGTAGCTGTTCAGGCCCAGAGAAATGAGCACCCAGGTGTGGTATGAGTGTGAGGAGAGAGGCCACACTATCTGGTGCCCAGCCTGGGATTCAAGGAATTGATCTCCACAATATTCACACTAAATCCCACGATGAAGGGGTCTCGGTCAGACCCTGTTCTACACCACTGGGGACAGTCATTTTTTGCCTTGGACAAGAATACTAAAATTTGGTCTTTGTTCCTGGCACAGAACTTCAAAAATCCTTGGAATTTCCTGAGTCACAGGAGTGTCTTGTTATTCAAGAGACACAATCTCGGAGAGCACCTGAGTTTTCACTAATGACTTAACAGTAAGCACTTAGAGAGTTTCAAGGGCTGGCCACTCCAGAGGTCAACCCTGTGATCAGAGGGCAGAAACGTTCAGCCCCATCCCCTGACCCATGCCCCCACATCCCTACCAATGGAGTATAAAACAACAACAACAATCAATTCTAAATCTTAAAAACAAAAAAACCACCACCAACAACAAAAAACTCGGATGAAAACACTGAAACAAGGAAGCTGAGAGAGCCTCTCGGTTGAACCTATGTTGGGAGAACTTCAAGCTCAAGAGTCCAGGAGTGGGCACAGCAGCTCTGTACCCTCTTGCCCCACCAAGACCTTGCCTGTGTATTGCTTCTAGTTATATCCTTTATGCTAAAACAGTGATAAAAGTACAGTGCTTTCCTGTGTACGTGAATCATTCTAGGGAATTACGGGAACCTGGGGCAGTGTGGGGGAGGGTCGTGGGAACCCCTGAATCTGCAGCTGGGGATGCAGAAATGCAGCAGCTTAAAGACACATGACATTCATGGCTGGCAGCTGAAACAGGGGTAGCCTAAGTAGCACTGAGCCCCATCACGTGGGGTCCGGGTGGCAGAACTAAAATGAACTGTAGGACCCACGGTCAGTGTCAGCACTGTTGTGGGAACACAGCAAGGCAGGGTTCAATGCTGGTTACCTAACAGTGGCCAAGCTAAGATAGGTGCCAGGAGAACGGGTATGGAGGACAAGGCAGGAGGTGACAGGAAACTTCAGGCCACCCCTGGGATCTCTTACTGTCTCTACCAGGGCTCTGTGCCTCCAAGCTGGAGTTCCTCATCTCCTCTAGGCCACATGTCCCGCGGGCCTTCTGAAAGAGGAAATGTGAAAATGCTAACAGCCAGGGGTAGCTGATGACCACAGCCTCTTCCCAGAGCTTGAAGAGGGGTGCGCTTTCACAGGCAGGAGGGGGTTTTGTTCATGAATGGGTCTGCCTCTGGCCTGAGGTGAGGAGGGTGCCAGGAGTTTGACGGTGGGCATAGGTGTGGCACAGTGCGCAGAGTCAAGCCCAGGTACTCACCTTTGGGGACAACACTTTGATGAGCTCGTTCAGGAAACGGAATTTGGCCACCTCGCCGTGAAACTTCTCCCCACAGTGGTTCATGCACATCTCCAGCACCTGCAGACACAGAACCCCCATGAGAAGGTGGAAAGCCAGTGGTCCCAGGCTCCCCTCCTGGCTGGTAATCACTTGCTGGGGCAGTGTGGGGGAGGGTCGTGGGAACCCCTGAATCTGCAGCTGGGGATGCAGAAATGCAGCAGCTTAAAGACACATGACATTCATCGCTGGCAGCTGAAACAGGGGTAGCCTAAGTAGCACTGAGCCCCATCATGTGGGGTCTGGGGGGTGACCCACTGAGTTTTCATGAAGAGGACGTTTTCAGATCAAGAAAAAAACGTCCTCTGTTCAATCTTGCTCTAACTGCCTGGGATTTATGCCCAGGAAATAGCTTAGTGGGGTATGTCAAACCTTGAGGTCACCCCACCTTTTAAGGATACCATTTGGGAGATTAAAGTGGCCCAAGAACCAACTCCTTCCCAGAGGCTGAAATCAGGTATCCAGTGTCCAAGACCAGCCAGATGTCGCCCACTGGTACTCAAAAGGTAAGCTGGGCCTGCAGACCTCTCCTCTGGTCCATACTGATGCTTTCAACACTGCAAACTAGTCCCCAGCATCTAAACATCAAATATATACAAAGACCTAAACTAGCAATCCTGGGCCCACACTCACACTTGCTAACAGCCAGCAGGCCCTGTGCTAGAGCTGCCCTCTTCAGACAGGGCACATGAACTTGCCAGCCCTGGTTTAAAAGGGCAAATCAAAGTAAAACCTTCCTTTCCTTCTCCCACAGTAGTCTCGATGCTGCCCTCAAGAAACGAATGAGAAAGATTAGAAAGGATGAGGACCCTTGGCCAGAACTCCCTCCTCCAACCTGCTGTGATGGTGAACCTTTCAGGGGACCTCCCTGCCCCAGTGAAAAGGACCTGGGTGGAAGCAAAGTGCCTCTCAGCTCTCTCCAGCACCAGGACAGGAAAGCTTAGGCTACAAGGCAAGCCATACTCACTGTTAAGGCATAAAGAGCTTCCTTCTCTTGCGGAGACTGGATCTTGTGGGCCAGTAGCCAGGGCGCGTGTGTGGGGCTACAGGGAAACAAAAAGACCTAGACTCTGGGCACTCAAGAAGAAACTAACCCAAGTGGCTGAGCATGCTCAGTAACACCACTTTTCTTCCAGGGGCTGGTGTCCCAAAGCAGAGGTGGAGTGTGCCTGATACAAAGCCCACGAGGAGACCCCAGAGAGGGCCATCTCCCACCCACCCTGGTTGCACCTAAAGCACCCAAAGTCCTCCTCCTGCCAAGGGCACACTGCCCTCCCCTCAGCCAACCCCTAGACCCCAAATTCCAAGCTGCCAGTCCCAGCCCAGGCCCACATGGAGCCAGAGCAGCACAGGCCCTGTTTGTCTGTGATAAATGCCCAGGAAATGCTAGAGCAGAAAGTGTGATCAAACTTGGCTCAAACTGGCCAAATATGTGGCACCACACAGATTAAACATCTGGATGGGCTGGGCACGGTGGGTCACGCCCATCCCACACTTTGGAGGCCAAAGCAAGTGGATCACCTGTGGTCAGGAGTTCGAGACCAGCCTCGCCAACAGGGTGAAATACCATCTCTACTAAAAACTACAAAAATTAGTCGGGTGTGGTGGTGCATGCTTGCAATCCCAGCTACTCAGGAGGCTGAGGCAGGAGAATCACTTGAACCCAGGAGATAGAGACTGCAGTGAGCCAAGACGGCACCAATCACTTTAGTCTGGGTGACAAAGTGAGACTCTGTCTCAAACAAAAAAAAAAAAAAAAAGAAAAGAAAAGGAAAAAAAAAACATCTGGATGACTCACTTGATTCTTCAGGTCCTACCCAGTTGCTTTGGAAACAATTCAATAAAACCTTCCCCTTTTCCTTTTTCTTAAGATTACATTTAAATGGTGGAGAATACACACATCTCTTTTTTTTTTTTGAGACAGAGTTTTGCTCTTGTTACCCAGGCTGGAGTGCAATGGCACGATCTTGGCTCACCGCAACCTCTGCCTCCTGGGTTCAAGCAATTCTCCTGCCTCAGCCTCCCGAGTAGCTGGGACTACAGGCGTGCGCCACCATGCCCAGCTAATTTTTGTATTTTTAGTAGAGACGGGGTTTCACCATGTTGAACAGGATGGTCTCGATCTCTTGACCTCATGATCCACCCACCTCGGCCTCCCAAGTGCTGCGATTATAGGCGTGAGCCACGGCGCCCGGCCCAGATCTCTTTTAATTAGGTAATGTGGTGACATTCTATCAGTAACATTCAGAGTTCTCTTCAGCATTAGTGTTTTATAACACTATCTAAAATGTATAACTGCCAGTTGCAAATGAACTATTGTTTTTGTTTTTTTTTTTTAAAACATGAACTTGCTAATTTTAGAAAAATAATGTTTTCAAAATTATAGGGGAAAACAAGAAAATAAATGCCATAGACTGACTGTATTTTTATGTTTTTGAGACAGGGTCTTGCTCTGTCACCAAGGGTGGTCTCAAACTCCTGGCCTCAAGCAATCCTCTCACCTTGGTCTTCCAAAGTGCTGGGATTACAGGCATGAGCCACCGAGCCTTGCCTAGAGAGCTTAACTCTAAAACAATCTCGAGAGACAAAGTTCCACACTCTACACCCCAGAGTCAACTATGTGTGTGAGAAGTCACCTTACCCATTGGGGTCAGTGTTCACCTGCTCACAGAAATTCTGGATAGCTGACCAATCCTGTTCCGACATGCTTGGGTCTGTGGCTTTGTCTGTCAAATAAATAATAAAGTTAGAGAATGCATAAGAAGAAGAAATTTACATCACTCCTCACACACATGGCAGCCAAGGGCTGTCTCATCACAGCTCTACAGGATCAGACCAGTGGACAGACAGCCAAAAGGAGAGGAATTGTGCCTGTGCTGCCCATCACCAACCAGCACAGCACTGGGCACATGGTATGCCCTTACTGAGTCTTTGCTGACTGAATGAACAAGCAAATTAATTAGCAAGCTGGCTGGGCACAATGGCTCATGCCTGTAATCCCAGCATTTTGGGAGGCTGAGGTGGGCAGATCATTTGAGGTCAGGAGTTTGAGACCAGCCTAACCAACATGATGAAACCTGGCTCTACTAAAAATACAAAAAAATTAGCTACTTGGGAGGCTGAGGCAGTAGAATCGCTTAACTTGGGAGATGGAGGTTGCAGTGAGCTGAGATTGTGCCACTGCACTCCAGCCTGGGCGACAGAGGGAGACTATCTCAAAAAAAAATTAACAACCTATTCCCCTGAAAGCAGCTCCACTTCTGGTGCAGAGGTTGGCCTGGGTATTGTCTGAGTCGGGACGCGCCCACCTGGCCTGCAACAAGCAGAGACAGAAGCCAGCATTGGAAAGGCCACCTGGAAGTGTTTCAGCTGTGTGACAGGAAGACAAGAACACACCACCAGAAGGAATACCATCCTGTCTGTTCATAAAACTTCCAGTGGCAGCCGCGGTGGTTCATGCCTGTAATCCCAGCACTTTGGGAGGTTGAGGTAGGCGAACCACGAGGTCAAGAGAATGAGACCATGTTAGCCAACACAGTGAAACCCCGTCTCTACTAAAATAAATTATCTGGGCGTGGTGGCGCACACCCGCAGTCCTGGCTACGCAGGAGGCTGAGGCAGAACTGCTTGAACCTGGGAAGCAGAGGCTGCAGCGAGCCGAGATCGCACCACTGCACTCCAGCCTGGTGCCTGGCAACAGAGCAAGTCTCTGTCACAAAAAAAAAAAGCCGGGTGTGGTGGCTCACACCTATAATTCCAGCACTTTGGGAGGCCGAGGCAGGTGGATCACGAGGTCAAGAGATCAACACCACCCTGATCAACAAGATGAAACCCCGTCTCTACTAAAAATACAAAAATTAGCCGGGTGTGGTGGTGGGTGCCTGTAATCCCAGCTACTTTTGAGGCTGAGGCAGGAGAATCGCTTGAACCCAGGAGGCAGACGTTGCAGAGAGCCGAGGTTGTACCACTGCATTCTAGCTTGGGCAACAGAACAAGACTCCGTCTCAAAAAAGAAAGAAAAAAAATTAGCTGGGCATGGTAGCATGTGACTGTAGTCATAGCTACTCAGGAAGCTGAAGTGGGAGGATTGCTTAAACTCAGGAAGCTAAGGCTGCAGTGAGCCAAGATCACGCCACTCCGCTGCAGCTTGGGCCGCAGAGCAAGACCCTGGCCTGGGTATTGTCTGAGTCGGGACGCGCCCACCTGGCCTGCAACAAGCAGAGACAGAAGCCAGCATTGGAAAGGCAACCTGGAAGTGTTTCAGCTGTGTGACAGGAAGACAAGAACACACCACCAGAAGGAATACCATCCTGCCTGTTCATAAAACTTCCAGTGGCAGCCACGGTGGCTCATGCCTGTAATCCCAGCACTTTGGGAGGTTGAGGTAGGCGAACCACGAGGTCAAGAGAATGAGACCATGTTAGCCAACACAGTGAAACCCCGTCTCTACTAAAATAAATTATCTACTAAAATAAATAAAAACAACAACAAAAACAAGTAAATAAAACTTAAAAAATAACCCTTCCATCTCCCCTCTGGCCATCCTGTCCTGGTCTGCCATACTGGTTCTGACAGAGCAGCTCTGTTAGGCTCTGGAAATGAGGCATTACTTCGCAGGGCCATAATTCTGACTACTTCTGACATTGTTTTTCCTCTGGCCCAAGTGTCCGCTCTGTGCCTCTCAGGGTCCTATCCATATTCTTCCAGACCCATCTGAATTTCCAGCTCCTGCAGAAAACTCCCTCCCGCTACACCAGCCCTATTGCTTCTCCCTCTGATTGTTCAACGCTGCATAGTCAGAGCTGAACTTTTCCTGACTGCAGTCACGTTTATGTCACATGGAAGTCATAAGTCTCAATAGGGAGAGTCAATGGACAGGTAATCACCATCTTCCTGCCCATTGACACCTTTCTAAGTGAAAAGAGAACACAAGGGCAAGGGAGGAATCAGTGATTGATTCCTATATTCTCCTCCCTGCCCTGCCCAAGCTCTTTCCCAGGTTCCATATCTTAAAATCCTATGCACCCTTGAGTCCCAATTCAAATTCCACCCTAAAGACTTCTCTGACCTCTTTATCACCTGCCCCCCCAAAAACAGAAGCTGTCTCTTCCTCTTCTGAACAGATATTTTATCTGCCACTTCTCCGATAGGGATCTCCAGCTACACCCCTTATTACATGTACTTCGTTTCCTCTACTATAAAATAAAAAAAAATAGGGCTAGGCGCTGCAACTCATGCCTATTAACCCAGCACTCTAGGAAGCCAAGGCAGGAGGATTGTTTGAGCCTAGGAGGTCGAGACCAGCCTGAGCAACCTAACAGGACCCAATCTCTATAAATTTTTTAAAAAATTACCCAGGCTGCCAGACAAAGTGGCTCATGCCTATAAACCTAACACTTTGGGAGGCTGAGGTGGGCGGACTGCCTGAGCTTAGGAGTTGGAGTCCAGTCTGGCCAACACGGTGAAACCCTCTGTCTCTACTAAAATAAAAAACCAGCCAGGCATGGTGGCACACACCTGCAGTCCTAGCTACTCAGGAGGATCACTTGAGCCCAGGAGGTCAAGGCTGCAGTGAACTATGATTGTGCCATTGCACTCCTGCCTGGAGGGACAGAATGAGACCCTGCCTCAAAAATAATAATAAAAATAGTCAGCCAGGTTTGGTGGCTCACACCTGTAATACCAGCACTTTGGGAGGTCTAGGTAGGTGGAGTTCAAGGAGGTCAGGAGTTCAAGACCAGCCTGGCCAACAGGGTGAAACCCTGTATCTACTAAAAATACAAAAATTAGCTGGGCGTGGTGGGGTTGCCTGTAATCCCGGTTACTCAGGAGGCTGAAACAGAAGAATTGCTTGAACCCAGGAAGTGGAGATTGCAGTGAGCCGAGACAGTGTCACTGTACCCATGCCTGGGCAACAGAGCGAGACTCTGTCTCGAGGAAAAAAAAAAAAAAAAAAAAAAAAGGTCTGTAACCCCAGTACTTTGGGAGGCCAAGGTAGCCTCAGGATCGCCTGAGCTCAGGAATGAGTGACGAGCCTGGGCAACATCACTACAAATAAAAAAATGAAATAAGGAAATAAGAGTGAGGCCCCATTTCTACAAATAAAAAATGAAATAAGGAAACAGTACCTTCCTCACGGGACTGTCATGTGATTTAAAGGAGACGGTGTCTAAAATGCTTAGCAAGCAGTCTATAAAGGATAATTGTTTATTATTACAGTCTCTGGCTTTTACTGCAATATGTAGACATATCTTGTCCTACCTAAAGAGAATGAAACCTCTAGGGCAGACGCCTTATCTTCCTTACAGTGCCTTACTCATAGGCACAAAATAGTCATCAAATAAATTATTTAAAGCAGTGATTCTCAGAGATTCTGTGTCTGAATCACCTAAAGTCTATACCATTTAAGCTTCAGATTCAGTTCACTACAAGGTCAAGGTTAACACCTCAAAAGAATTCTGACCTCAGCATGTGACTGGACCTGGAGGGAGAGAACAGGAGACGCCGGGAGAGAACAGGAAGCATAGCTCAAGCTCCCCTCACAGAATCCAGCCCTCTCACTCCTCCCTGGCTAGCAAGTGAGAGACACAGCACTGACAGGCACCAGCTTTTTGAAAGAAAGACAAAACCTCTCTGAGGTTAAACAACATTCCAGATCCTTAACCAAGGCCAAGCAGAAAAACAATCTATAAAATGTAAGGAGGTTTCTTACTTGCTAGAACTTGTATCCTGATGATTCAATCAAGATTCATCATGGCTCAAAAGTAACGGTAATCATTTTCATTTTTAAAAGCACCTACTATGGGCCAGATACCATGCCAGGTGCCCTCAGAACAACCCAGGTTGGTACGATCACCACACCATGTTACAGACGAAGAAACCTGCCCAGCCACAAAGCAAGGGAATGGCAGAAACAAAAATTCAGTCACAGGCTGGCCTGGCTCCACAGCCTAGGTATGTTTCTAACTAGTCTCATGATGAGGTCTTCAGTTCCTTAACAAAGTTAGGGCCTCTCTTGGAAGCCAGCTTGATCTTCTTTCTCATAAACTCCTGGAAGGTAAAAGGAGGCCTGTCCCATTCACTCTTATGGGCTCTAGCACCTAAAAGAGTTGCCGCAGGTATCTCCTGAATGAATGATTCCTCTTTTGCCAAGCAGTGTTTGGCCAGCTGACTGGACATACTGATAACACGGAGATTTTGGCTATTTTGGTTCTGAAATAACTGGGCTCCCAAACACATAATCCCAGCCTGCACTAACTATTTCAGAGGACTTGAGTAGCTCCAAAAAAATGACCCCCAGAGGGCCAGCAGCTGGGTCTGACCAGGCCACAACCACCCCAGGTCTGTTTGATGCCAGTCTGCTCCAAGGACTAGCCAGGGGCCAGCCAGAAACTCAGGATGCCATCTCTGTTTTGGGCTATCCCAGACTCAAGGTGGTTTACTTAGCAGGCACTTGAGCAGAATAGAGGGGTGCCAAGAAATAACACTGCTTGTCATGATTTCCTTATTAAAAGCAGTGTTTGTAGGATTCATTTCAAGCGTGCTTCAGAGCCAGAGGTGTTAGGAAAACAGCTGAGATCTCCGGCTGTGAGTGAAATGGCTCATCCCACAACAGCTGCCAACCAACCGCCAGAGTCATGACTCTGGCACCAGCAGCCACCTGTGCTAGCAAGGGGAGCCCCGAAGCTGTGGGGAAGTGGTCACCTCAAGGAGCAGACTGAAATCC